CGCTGTGCGACGCATCCTGACCTCCAGCCGATGCGTGACTCACCGGCTGAAATAGGTCGTCGGGCGCCGCTGGCCGGGATCACTTTCGAGCGTCCATGAACCTGTCGCCGGAACTGGTTGGGCCCGGGCTCCCCCGCCGGAGGCTACTGCCAGTTGCTTTCTCCGGCGTCTGTGCGTGCGTATGCGTCAGCCCGGAAACACCGTCTGATGCATCAAAATTACCCTTCGGCCAGGTCAGGCCAGCCAGCGGGTGGTCGTCGGCCGCGGACATGTTTTCATGGGCGAAGTGAATTGAGGCTTTTGTCATGAGGAGACCGTTTTGGACCCCATTTGTAGCTTTTCCCAACCTTTTCAGGTGGAGTGCTGTAACTTCGTGAATACCTGTTTAACATTGCACTCACAAAATTGAATCGAGATCGCCACTTCTCATCTGTGGACAACGACTTAGCACCGATTATTCAAAGTAGGTACGGGAAGCGAAGAAATAATACTAAACTTACTCAAAACACGGAGTCTTCCGTACATTAAATTTGCCAACTGATTTCTCTTCAATTTTGCGATTTTATGTGAACGGTATGGTTCCCATGACATCCACACAAATTGATCGTACGTTGATGAGGGAAAGTTCACCAGCACCTGGTTACAAAATGGCGATTAAAAATCTAGCATGTTATGGTTGCCACCAGTATTTACGGGTCGAGCCATTTGGACCGCGCCGAGCTAGGAAATTTCCTGACAAAAAATGAGCCATAATCAAGGTAACAAAACGGGCTGTAGCAATATCTTGAAATTATTTAGGTTGGGCTTATGTTAGGCTTTTGGGCGCAACAAATATGATGCACCTAAAATAACTACGACTCTCAAGTTTTTCAGATCCCTTATTTAAAGCGGGGAGCGAGCCATAGTGATAGCCAAATTCAAAGACAACAAGCCAGAACATGACGCCTCTGGACTGAGACTCAGGCCGGGGCCGCGCGTGGGTGACAGACATGTCACAAAACAGCTCTATGTATTTATGATACAGGACAGGGCTAAGGGGCAACCAATTCCGTAAAATACGTAGTGCTATGCGACAACTGAAGGCATTCACACCTTACCATGTCTGTAAGTATCACTCTGATTGTAATGAATCCATTCACCGCAGTCACAATCATGTTGACTAAAAGGATCTCATCAGCTTGCAGGTGTTCTACGTTTTGCACAGCTGGTTGTTTGAGAACCGGTAGGTCGAGAAGTTTAGGTACTGGCAAAACAAAAAAGCAGCATAAAATTAACGTTCTGAGCACTGTGCGACAGCCGACAACAACAAAGGAACTGGTCGGAACTACTGGTAACAGGCTATCTCAGACCTGTGTACGTGCGGGCACCTCTGGCTTGCTCGGCATCTCACAATGTAGTAAACAGTTTATCTGGCGACTGAATTCCCGAGGGTAGGTATTGAGACTAGTCTCTTTTCTATCCTGTGAGAAGGTTGTTTAAAGCGTAATAAGTCTCTGGTTTAGCAAAATGCTGCAAGCAACAAGTTAAAACATACCTACCCATCCCGTCAGCGAATTTCCATTTCTCTTTTTGCAGCTGAATACGGTGAACTGTGCGGTTATGTTGGGTGTTGACTAAGCTGGCTCTACTTACGAGAATATAGGCAGTTCCAACCAGTCAAGTGCGCGAAGAGGCGTCGTCCTTGGCATCTATCAATACGGCAATGATTTGTGTCTGAGCAATGCAAAATTCGCCCAGTTAGATTGCGGGAATATAAAGGTATTGCTTTAGGCCAACACTCCAGACGTATAAGAAGGAATCATCTGGTTTTCAGCGCTGGCGATAAAGATGTATGTCTTTCGAGACCCTGAAGCATCTTTAAAACTCAATGCCAGTAAAAAATAAGGATGCTATTGTGCGCCAAGCTTGGGCATTGATTAACTGCGAGGTTTCCCCTGATTGGGCACGTGCAAATTAGTATTTAATGGCAGAGGCACTGGCACTGTCGCGTTAGGGGCGGGGGGGGGGAGGGCTTTGGGGTTTGAGGTAGTCAAATGTTAGGAAGCTTGACCATTCGACTACAAAATCAAATGCTAGACTTTGAATTCCAGAAGCAGAAGCCGGCACCTCTAAAATACTACTTCACTGTAAGAATAACAGTCTTCAACATCAGTTCCTTCAGTTGCCCGTTTGCATAGGAACAGAAACACGTAAGGGTGAGAAATGAGTTAGCAATAGGCCATAGTTTTGCGAACTTTTTCAGATAATTGCCTGCATGGCAAATAATTATGCCTCGACGATATATTTCATCGGAGGGCGTGGGGTGCAACGATGCAGGTCATCATCGCGGTGGGCTGTTGACCGGCGTAAAGCTTCAGGTTAACCGTAGAATAGTTTGTTTAAAGTGAGTGTTCCATATTCATATGGGATTTCGAACTGAACTAGTCACTATAAAGACCTTTCGGTGCTGTTCACAATGCTGCCCTTCTTAAGCTCTAAGCCTCTCTAGTTTTTTAATTATACGCCCGCGAAAATCGGGAAAAGTATACTGTGGTGAGCAATTTCAAGGTCACCTCGGCATTCATGTCGTCAAATAACGTCATCGAAATCCTGCCATTCCAGAAGTTATGCGGCGATCAAGGCCAAGCAAAATATGATTGTCGAGACGTTTATATTTGGCGTTCGTGAGCGCGATATCGAGATATGACAGCCACCAAGGGACTCTCAATCAATTTTGTGCAAGGTACGATGAGGTAATAAAGCCATGACGCATTGAAGGGTATCTTTACTAAACAGAGAATTGTTCTGTCCAGAGCAGTCTTCTCCACTTAAAAGTATACCGATAGTTATAAGGGAGCCTGTTTCAGCATATCTGATGCTTACTTCACATCTTCAAATGTAAAGCATTTCCTTTAATGTCGTGTAATAATTCATAAAGATATACCATTATTGGATTTGCCAAAAAAAGATGACAGGTATCGCACCGTGTCACACCTATCAAACTACAGGTGCATCATCACGCAGTCTCACCTGTATTTAAGCGCGGCCGACTCTTTCGAAAGTAGGGTTACCCTAACTCGTCCAGCTTACCTTAGTTCTTCCAGCTTGCCTGCGAGTCTATTCCATTTCAAAGCTCATGCCCATCTTGTAATTGCACATGTCTTTTAGTAATTTAGCATGAGTGTTGTCGATCTTTTAGCATTATATATCTATGCGCCTTGATATACAATGTCTTCCCGTTAACGAAAATTGTATCCCTGCCAAGCGCCAAAAGACGCTCCCTTATTTGCGCTTCGCTGTGACAGACGGCGGTGTCAGACGGGTAAGCAACCGGCCACGTGTACGTATTCAATCGTCGTCCGTGCAACCGCTTGTGCCAAGAGCGTGCAGCCGTTTGTGCTAGGAGTGTGTAACCGTTTGTGCCAAGAGCGTGGAACCGTTTGTGCTAGGAGCGTGCAACCGTTTGTGCTAAGAGCATGCAACCATTTGTGCTAGGAGCGTGTAACCGTTTGTGCCAAGAGCGTGGAACCGTTTGTGCTAGGAGCGTGCAACCGTTTGTGCTAAGGGCGTGCAACCGTTTGTGCTAAGAGCGTGCAACCGTTTGTGCTAAGAACGTGCAGCCGTTTGGGCTAAGAGCGTGCAGCCGTTTGTGCTAAGAGCGTGCAGGCGTTTGTGCTAAGAGTGTGCGACCGTTTGGGCTAGGAGCGTGCAATCGTTTGTGCTAAGAACGTGCAACTGTTTGTGCCGAGGCAAAAAGACCCGCGCACACGCAGATGGAGAGAGAGAGAGAGGGAAAGAGGGAGAGAGAGAGTGAGAGAGAGAAAGAGGGAGGGAGAGGGAGAGAGGGAGAGAGACATGTAAGTAAGCGTGGTTGTTTAACATGAAAACGAACGACGGCAACTGACATTTGGATGCAAATTTGCGGGTATTTTGTATAGGAACTGTGACCATGCTGCTGTGTCCCGTGCCATTCTTGGAACCGGTTCTGGCATAGTAATTGCTGCAATCAGCCACAAACGCACCTTTTTACTTCAGCTGAAGACGCGTCGATGCAATAATCTTTCTGACCTCGTGTCGAGGTAAACGTGATCTATTTCACAGGACCCTCGGCTCGGTGACAGCGTTGAAACTCGTCTTGTCAGCAGCAGCTAAAAGTCTGGCCTAGTTCCCTCCAGTAAGAAATGGATGGCCTCAGTTCGCCGTCAGCAGAGGACCACCAGACTCAGTCCATCATCAGCGGTCTCGAGCTCAGAGTTGAGTCCGTCGCCATCAAATACACGCTGGCCTCAGTCCATCGGCAGCGGTGCCCAGTGTGCATGCGAAGCCGTCGCCATCAGATAAACACCGGCCTCAGTCCATCGGCAGGGGTGCCTAGTCTGCAGCGAAGCCGTCGCTATCAGGTGAATACTAGCCTCAGTCCATCGGCAGCGGTGCCCAGTCAACAGTGTAGTCCGTCGCCATCAGACGAAAACTGGTCTGAGTCCATCGACAGGGGTGTCTGGTCTGCAGGCAAGCCGTCGCCATCAGATAAACGCTGGCCTCAGTCCATCGTCAGGGGTGCCTAGTCTGCACCGAAGCCGTCGCTATCAGGTGAGCACTGGCCTTAGTTCATAGGCAGCGGTGCCCAGTCAGCAGTGAGGTCCGTTGCCATCGGATGAAAACTGGCCTGAGTCCATCGACTGTGGTGTCCAGTCTGCAGGCAAGCCGTCGCCATCAGATAAACGCTGGCCTCAGTGCACGGTCAGCGGTGCCCAGTCTGCAGGGGAGTACAACGCCGCCAGCTGAGAACCGGCTTCAGAGGCGGTGCCGGTGGTGCTGCATCACCAGCGGTGCCGAGCCCGACGGCGTCCATGGGCATGGGACCAGACTCCGCCCCCCCCCCCCCTCATCGTCAGGGGGGTCGAGTCTCCAGCGTAGCGCGCCGCTCGTGGCCGGCTGGAAAGCCCGGTCGCCGCCTGCCGCCGGCGGCGACCGGACCATAAAACCGGCCGCGCCGGCCGACCAGCAACAGTACGCTGCTGACACGGTACGGGGCAGGTCGCACGAGACGTCCGCAACCATGGAGAGAACGACAACTGCTGCGGTAAGCGTACGAGCATAGGTCGGGGTGGGGACAACGGTGGTTTGTGTGATTTGGCTGTTGGTTGTCGAACATTGTGTGATTTGGTGTTGGTTGTCCGAGTATTGTGTGATTTGTTCGATTTTTGAGTCAACAAGTGAAATCGTGATCAACCAGAACAATGTAAGTAGACCTTGGGTTTGAGGCCTTTTGTGTCACATATATCAAGCTATCACAAGTTCGAAATAATGAGCCTATTCACTTCCAGTTATCCAAAGATGCTTAAGTGAAACTGGTTACTCGGTTGCACTGCAACTTTTAAATGCCAGTTGATGTAGCCTGTTCGGCAGTCATGCCAACCTGTGTGACGATGAATTATAGGTGTAGGTGCCACGGCATTTGACACAGATTTTAATTCATCTGATAATATTTAGGTTAAGCTATTTGTGAGCATTTACTACAAAATCATACAGGGGCTTTTTAGACAAGCTGAGCACAGATAAACGTATCTCGTAGAACAGGCAGACAGGTTTAAACATGACACTCTTAGGTGAAGTTAACGTTTGCTTTATTTCTTCTCAAACCCATGCCTGCTCCAGGAGTTTTGTGTCTTCCCACTTACCCCACATTTCTTTCGACGACTCGTTTCTCTCGCTTCTCTCCGTCTGAATCCACAGCCCGCACGGCTTCCCATACTCTGCCATGCTACCAGGGGCACCGCTCCGCGGCCGCTGCGTCCTTTCGATGGTCGACTAACTACAACCCAAGATAGGATAACGACCTCGGGCACGATCCGTTGCACAATCGCCACCAACCAGTCCCGCTGGCTCCTAGTAACTCAAAGGCTTTATGACGCCTTCGATTTCGAATAATCCGTGCTTACAGCTGGCGGTTTGCCTTTGACCGGATGCAGTCGACTTAGCTGCGGTTTTCGGTTCTTAGCACTGTGTCGGGATGACGTGGAACTGATAACTCTCTTATGGGGGGGGGGGGGGGAGGAGGAGGAAAAGCAGGGTCTATATGATACTACAGGAATAAATCTGTCGTTTACTCGCTATTCCAATATTGTAATGAAAAGATTACTTGTTGTTACTGAAGGGTCATCGTTACGGGCCACCAACCCAGTGTTGGGGGGGGGGGGGGGGGGGGAATGCCGGTAGCGTGGTGGCTAACGCGTAAGCGTTAACCACTGCGCGTCTGGGAAACCAGAGGCACGGGACTCGATTCCCCGCGGTGCCCGCCCTTCCTGCTAGGGTGTGAGGCAGGCGACGCCATACAGCCATAGCAGCTGAGCGCATCGTAAAGCCTAAGTCAGCACACGCTGGTGTCATACGACCAACCGCCAGCTGACCTATCTCTGCGCGTAACCTCGCCCCCGGTCCCATCTGGGCGACGGCCAGGTGCCAGGTGGCCTCCTATCTCTGCGCGTAACCTGGCGCCAGGTTCCATCTGGACGACGGCCAGGGGCCAGCTGACCCCCGGTCTCTGCGCGTAACCTGGCGCCCGGTCCCATCTGGGCAACGGCCAGGCGCCAGCTGATCTCCTATCTATGCGCGTAACCTGGCGCCCGGTCCCATCTGGGCGACGGCCAGGCGCCAGCTTCATGAGACGCCCATACGCACCGCTCCTGAGGCTTAGGTGGAGGCGGCGGACTTGCGGGCCAGCCACGCTAGCCTGTCCATCACACAGCAGTATGATTACGTGCACTAAGTTCTCTTTCGCGTTATTTTCCGGGTTCCGCTAGCTTTGTCATGTCACCGCAGAAACTCCACTATTAACAGCAAGCGCTGTGCGCTTAACCTCAGACCGTTCCTGGAGCTTGAAGCCTAAGCCATGCGGGATGTATATCTATACGCATATGTATATATATATATATATATATATATATATATATATATATATATATATATATATATATATATATATATACATATATATGTGTGTGTGTGTGTGCATATGTGTGTGTGTGTGTGTGTGTGTGTGTGTGTGTGTGTGTGTGTGTGTGTGTGTGTGTGTGTGTGTGCGTGTGTGTGTGTATGTGTGCGCAAAAGAATGTTTGCAGTGTATGTAAACGTGTGGCTCCACGATGCCAGCTTGTTTGTTCTGCAAACTTAATGCCAGCCACTTCCCTGTTTCGCCTCGATTAGGCTTTTTTCCGTGTTTCGTAGCAGCTGTGCACGAAATGCACCGTCGGACGATGGGTCGGGTCAGACCGTGTCGAGCCTCCAAGGCAAAGGTCGATCTACGCTGATCCACCAGAGACATTTTTGCGGAAAGCAAATTAGAGCACGTGCTCCTTTTTGCATCTCGCAATTGTGCTACGCGCCTTAAGCTGTGTTTAGAAATTTCATTAAAAGAAAGGACACTTGCACCGCTTTTCAACGTCACGAGCAGTTTGTGTGGCACAATTAGTTTCAACCAAACTCTTGTTACGTTAGGCTCTAACACAGAGACGGCGTTTCCTGACCACCACCGATCTGCGTTGAAAAGCTCTATTATTGTCGCGATGTTGTGCGTGCTACCAAGGTCACACGCAAGGGCAATGGCGTGTAGGCACGCAGGATATTCGCATGAGTGGATGCATCGCATGCCAAGCCCCCCCCCCCTCCCCCCCTCCCCCCCCCCACTCGCAAAGCTGGTCAGGGTCGTCCCGTTCGTGAAGATGCGTCGATACCACCATAGTGATCCGGCCTTCTGCAGACAGCTTCCGTACAGGGGGAGACATGGCCTCGCCTGCACTGTCTTCGTCTCTTGCACCAGCTTACATGCTAAGCAATGTTACACAGCGCCCCGAGTGTTGCGCTTGCAGCCGATGACAGGGTCCGCGCCGGCTGGTGTGCATTCAGGACGTGCAGCGCTTTCACCGGCGGACGCGGTGAGCCGCTGGCCGGTCAGCGCGACGCGGCAATGAGGGCGCACCAGCGCGGCGTTTCCGGCGCGCGCCGGCCGCGCACCAGCCGTGATGCGAGGCGGACGGTTGTGCAACTGCGCACCGTTGTCTGGCGCGCACCGACCGGCGCTCCGAAGAGCGGAGCTGGGGCGATCCGGGCGCGGCACGTACAGGGCGTGGGTGGTGCAAAGGGGTTCGGGACGGGGGCGCCGTTGCTCGATGAGGGGTGGCTGAACTGCAGAGTGCAGTCAGACTGCAGGGTGCAGTCAGAGTTTGATCTGCTATGGTGTGGTAAACAGCCAGACTTCGCGGTCTTCTGAAGTGAGGTCAAGATCTTGCGGTTACTACTTGATGCATCCTTACTCCATTCCTCGTCTAACAATTGCTGTCAGCGCGCTGTGTTCGCGCAACAAGAGGGAAGCATCGCTTATATGTGTTCAATTCATACAAAACCAAAAAGCGTTTTTGCTCAAGTTTTTTCAAGTTAGTTTATTTTTACAAATGCATGGTCCCTTGTGCGTTTATTTGTGATTTACATCGTTATTGCAGTTGAAACATAAAAACATCTGTGAATTTGAACATGCATGCTGCATTTCGCAACCTCTCTCTCTCTCTCTCTCTCTCTCTCTCTCTCTCTCTCTCTCTCTTCTCTCTCTCTCTCTATCTCTCTTCTCTCTCTCTCTCTCTCTCTCTCTCTCTCTCTCTCTCTCTCTCTCTCTCTCTCTCTCTCTTCTCTCTCTCTCTCTCTCTCTCTCTCTCTCTCTCTCCTCTCTCTCTCTCTCTCTCTCTCTCTCTCTCTCTCTCTCTCTCTCTCTTCTCTCTCTCTCTCTCTCTCTCTCTCTCTCTCTCTCTCTCTCTCTCTCTCTCTCTCTTCTCTCTTCTTCTCTCTCTCTCTCTCTCTCTCTCTCTCTCTCTCTCTCTCTCTCTCTCTCCTCTCTCTCTCTCTCTCTCTCTCTCTCTCTCTCTCTTTCTCTCTCTCTCTCTCTCTCTCTCTCTCTCTCTCTCTCTCGCTCTCTCTCTCTCTCTCTCTCTCTCTCTCATCTCTCTCTTCTCTCTCTTTCTCCTTAATCTCTCTTGAGTATGCATGATGCACGAAAACAGAGCACTGAAGGTCACCGAGGCGAGGCCAAATGCACGTTGCATAGCTTGAAACCCGCTTAGTCACTGCAGTGAGAAATACAGGAGCCGGCAATCTAGCGGAGACGACTACTAACTAAAGTGACATTATAATGACCTTAATCTGAGCTGTCGGAAATCCTGAGTGGGTGCGTAACAGCTGTGCTCCCTATGCTTGCAATCCCAACAAAACGGGCAGGACTTTTTGCAGGAATCAGAATGTTCATGAGTGAGCATAGTTCCTGGCCCGTTAATCACCGGGGCGTGCGGCGCCTCTGGCGGTCCCGGTTTTTGCGGAGCCAGGTCGTGAATCTGCTCATGTGTGGGCGTTCGAATAGAGGGAGCCAGTGGAGCCATGGCCCTCAACTTTTTGAGAATGTTTGACATTAACCCTGCGGCGATGCATCAAAGGAATCTTTCTCAAAATCTTTATGGCCGACCACCAACCCATGTCCCCCCGTTTTCTGAGGCGTTCCCTGCGCCTATGTGTTAATAGCTTACGTTACTTGTCCAACATAAAATTACACAAGCCGACTAACTATTTAACGACAACCTATGAAGCCGACTGACTATCTGCACGTGACTATGCGTGCTTGCTTAGACGCATTCTCCATTGTGCATGGCATCAACCCCAGTTACGACAAGATTGAACACTTGGAAAACATTTTTGGCGATGACCTTGCAATGTTTGCTTGACGCTGCGCCGCTGAACAGACCTCATCAGGCTCACGTCCCAGCCCTGACCTCGTCACCCGCTACCGGCGCCACCTCACGGAACGTGCTGCCCTCCTCCAGCTGCCGGCGCTCGGCCACCGGCGGTCCCTGCGGGCCTCTCCGGGCCGCCAGACTGACCCGGCCGACCCTGTTGCAGAGCCTGCTGCTGCTGCTGCTGGCGGTGGCCTCACCGACGGCCGGCCAGCGTGGCATCCGCACCTGCTCCTGCCAGCTCCGCGAGGACCTCTCACAGCAGGGAAAGCTGGTCGGCAGAGCCTGCTACGTCGTCGGCGTCGGCTTCTGCTCCTCCTTCACCTACGAGTCGGAGTCGGGCACGGAGGAGCTGGGGCCGCGGCGGCCCCCGGCGCTCCGGCGGCGCGGCGTCTACCGTCCCACCTCGTTCTCGGATGTGGCGTCAGCCCTCGCCAACGCTTCGCCCCAGCAGCACCAGCGCGCCGTGGAGGATGCCAACCGCCAGCTGGAGGCCAACCGCAGCCTGGAGCGCGCGCTGCTGGCGTCGGGGCGCGCCACGGTCCGGCCCGGCTCGCCGTCGGCCGTGCTGGCCGCCGAGCGGCGGCCTGACGCCAAGTCGATCGCACTCGGAAACAGGGCGCTGGCGCAGATCCTCTACCTGCAGAGCCTCCTGGGCGGCAGCGGTCGCCGGTAAGCCCAGGTGAGTTCCGCGACCGGTTGCTGGTGGCAGACGCCGGCTGAGCGCCGCATCCAGATTGGTCGAGGATCCGGGTGCTGTCACGGCCTTGTTGTGAGCGGGTGTTGTCACGGCCGTGTTGTGAGCGGGTCTTTTCAGGCTAGTGTTGTGGGCGGGTGTTGTCACGCTAGTGTTGTGAGCGGGCGCTGTCACGCCAGTGTTGTAAGCGGGTGTTGTCACGCCAGTGTTGTAAGCGGGTGTTGTCACGCCAGGGTTGTGAGCGGGTGTTGTCATGCCAGTTCTGTGAGCGGGTGTTGTCACGCACGTGTTGTGAGCGGGTGGTGTCACCCAGTGTTGTGAGCGGGTGGTGTCACCCAGTGTTGTGAGCGGGTGTTGTCACGCCAGTGTTGCGTCACGCCAGTGTTGTGAGCGGGTGTTGTCACGCCAGTGTTGTGAGCGGGTATTGTCACGCCAGTGTTGTAAGCGGCGGCGACGCCCGTGATAAGCTGGGGCGAGACAGTCGTTTGGAGTAATGGGCCTCGAGCTCGCCCGGAGCTGGCCCGGATTACCCAAGGCCAGAGAGGCGCGACTAAGCATATTCCTTCCAACGATCATTTGCACCGCTTCCTCGCTTCGCTGATGTCATGCGGGCTGGCCAGCAACACTTGTGGAATACCCGCAGTCGGATAGCTTTGGCCAACGCCGGCTGTGAGGTGCCGCTTGGCTGATGGACCTTTGATGGACGAGGGTGTACATTCTGACTCGAACATCTCCTGCAAAGACTCAAATTTGTCGTTTCGTTGGCGATCTCTAACGGCGTATCATTATTTTGTTGGGTGCGCAAATTTACATGTGCAGCTTTACTTATGTTCTGCTTCCATGCTGTCGTGCTTGCAGGTGCAACCACGGCCGTGAACCACACATAGGAATCTGGAAGGTGGATTTCCATAAGGTTATGGCTTGCTATGTGTCCAGGGGTGCGGTTGGGATTTGCGACGGGGGAGGGGGTAAAGACCCATTCCCAGCCCCTTTCAAGTGCTTACGCTCTGGATCCTCTGACCTTTTTCCTGAATTACTGCTGTTGAGTGTGACATGTCATTGTCCATGGCAGCCAGTGAGATGTAAGGCCAAAACAATTTTCCTAATCACCATATCACGGAACTATATGCATTAGTGTTGTGGCGAAGGAAATGCGCTCGCTCCTGACGAGCGTGAGGAGGCTTCATCCGCATCACCTAGCCTGCCCCTCCCTGCGCTCTTTTTGGCTCCGTGCCTGCATATGCCCGACAATGCCCCCTAAGATGGTGAGAGACGCGTGTTTTCATCATTATTTTAACCGCACTGCGATACCATTCTGTCTCTTCTGACGCTGGCCATTATTTTAACCGCATTACGGTGCCATTATGGCTCTCCTGACGTTGGCCATTACTTTGACTGTCCCGACGCTCAAGTGAACAGAGTGGACGTTAGACTCCACCTTGTGCAGCTCGCCAGCGATCAACGGCTGCGGTGTCAGTCTTCCCGCAAATATCATTGGTCACCCCGGAAACCACGGACACTACCGCAGTCATACATTGCTATCATCCCGGAAATTCAGCGCCTGCCGCCCACCGCCCATCGTCACGGCATGGCCACAAAATCCCGACAATCACCCGACAAGATCGCTTGTCCACCTCATGACTTTCATATTTTGGCATGATCTGTGGAAAATCACAAGCATAGCTGGCTGTGGAATGCCAGCGGACGATAAACCCGTTTGGCGCCGACAAAAAATCGGCGATGATTCGCCTGCCTGTCTGACACGGAAGGCCTATAGTCCTCAACAATACCGCATCACGATATCAGGGTACCCGCTCGGCCTATCCACTACTTCATTGAATCGTATTTGAATCCCGTGGAACGCAGTCGGTCTCGGGAATTACCCTCTTCTTTCCTGCGTGTAGTGATTTTTTGTAGATATCCTCGGAGCGGTAATAAAAGTTGCCTAGGAGAAAACAAGCCTGGCTTTGTCCCTCGACGACATTAAAAACAGCGTGGCTTTGGCCCTCGACGCCCCAGAAACAAGCTTGGCTTTGTCCCTCGGCGCTGCAGAAACAAGCTTGACTTTGTCCTTCGACGCTCCTGAAGCAAGCCCGACCTTGTCCCGCGATGCTCCTGAAACAAGCCTGATTTTGTCCATCAACGCTCCTAAAGCAAGCCTGGCTCTGTCGATCGACACTCCTGAAGCAAGCCCGGCTTTGTCCCTCGACGGTCCTGACTTGTTGATGCCTTGTTGATGTTGATGTTAATATTGAGTTGATGCCTTCTGGCATGCGCCTCGAACTCTGTGTCATTACAGTCAGATTAAATAATTCCTCACTGGCCGTCATGTACATCGCTGACATGTTGGTGAGGTCCGCTGGGATGATCATGTTACCTTCGTCTTGAGCGACCGCTCCGTCATGATGCAAACGAGACCCAATGTGCTGTAGCCCCCGCGGTCTCTCAAATCGTATACAGCAGGGAGCCGCCTCGTCACAACCCCTCCCCCCTTGTTGGTACACGTGCTCGGTACCCGTCCGTGTGCACTTACACGGCCTGGCGTGGGCCACAGCCGTTAAACGTGAGCAAGAAGGCACGACTGCGATGGTTTAGATAGCGGGCGGCCCGGCCCTTGTGGAGCGGATTCGGCGCCGCCGGCGGCGCTGCGTTATGGCCTATGCATGCCGTGTCTAAGTTAATTCGTGACTGTGCCGGTCCTGGCAGTGAGCCAACTATTGCCAGCGGACCGAGCAGGCCTTACGTCCTGGAAGGGCGGGTTAACAGTATTTATCAGTCCGTCTCGACGTGTCGTCGTTCGTGACAAGAACGCGACGTCCGTGCGCTGACACACAGGGTGCATTGGCGGGTGCAGTGTTTTTGTAGTGACCCCGACATTGCACTGGATCCTCACTGGATTCAGAAACGCGCTGGTTGCTGAGTTCATTACCTTCCATGCTTTTTTTAGGTATGTTGACTGCGTCGTGCTACTGCTACTTTATTTGCGCGTTTAGAATATTACCGAATCGTGTCACGGGTGGATATTGAGAAGAAATCCATGATCGTTATCACTGGTGATAGGCTGGTCCTCACCTCATCCATGTAATCGCACATGGATGAGGTGAGGACACATTTCGGAATGTGATATTTTGGGATCCGTTTCCCTCCTAAGAAGCGTATGCTGCGCAACCGATGCCACACGATGCAAACTGTATTTTATAGCCGTGATTTACCGTGCTTTCAGTGGTGGCTGATATGAGGCAGTGCGTTCCACCCGGCTGAGTCCGTTGCAGCAGTCATCCAAGGCCCTTGTGTGATTTCATCTGGGCAAGAGCATGCTCCAGACAGCATCACCCGGATCACGTCGAGCTCCGCACGATTTCGACGGGGCCAGTCCTCGGCCACAGTGCAGTTGCGTGACTCGTCTAGAGGAGCGTGTTAGGCCCACGTGGGGATGTATCAGCTTCCCTGTGCGGTATCGGATGGTGGGTTGATAGCGCGGCAGTCATCCCACAGAGCGACAACACGTCGAAAAGATGGCTAAAGCATCACGGCCTAAAGCCGGCGTTACAGTGCTAGCTCATAGACGCCACTAAGTGTTTCTTCCTTGTCACGGCGTTCGTGCACGTGTTGTTTGTGCATATTTATCGTCAGACGCCTCGAATGAACTTGACATTCCAGACCGCGTGTGCCTGCGATTTTCCTTCCGGTTGCTGTTGGCGTCCTGCAGTTTTGTGGGTTTCCAGTGCATTTCGATCTTGGGTTTTCCCCTTCAATCACCCAAGCGCTTTTCGATTAACTGATTGAGCGAAACTGCACGCAAACAGCCCTTGTCCAAACAATGACTGGTGAGCATCGTCATTCCTAGATTATTGTTGAAAGCCGTGTCACCGGCCGATGCGCAATGCTTGCCGCAACAGCAGCATTGCCGCGCATCGTCTGCATGTAAGAAGTCTCGTCTGGTTCCGTCGGAATGTTGAGCCGGCCCTCCCGTCCTGCTGCTTTGCGCGCCAGCTGTCTGCCGAGGCAGCCGTGCGCAGGTGGCGCGGATCGGCCGCCGGATGTGCTGAGCCCGACTGCGGACGCATCCGGACGCCGGGCTGTACTGCGGACTAGCGCTGCTGGGGACGCCCGCTGCGGGAGACGCCCGCTGTGGGGGCGGAGCCCGGACCTGGGAGCGTGGGGAGGACCATGCACGCGTGGGCGCGCCGTCAGCGACGTCAGCGTCGAGCCGGCGGGGCGGCCCGCTGCCGGGGCAGGGCGCAACAGGCTGTGTGGAGCTGTGTGTGGGCTCACGACGTTGCGGCGGAAGCTGCTGTGTGTGTGTGTGTGTGTGTGTGTGTGTGTGTGTGTGTGTGTGTGTGTGTGTGTGTGTGTGTGTGTGTGTGTGTGTGTGTGTGTGTGTGTGTGCCTGTATGTAACGTGCATGACCTCATTGACTGAGCATACTCGCACGCCACTTGGGGGGGGGGGCATGCATGCGACAGCGTAGGCACGGCACGCCACTGCGCAGCAGCTCGGCGTTGCGAAGGAAAATCGCGTGGCGGTACGTGCGGCACCACCGACACACTGCTGCGTCACGGAATCGGCGCAGAGGAGTCACATCACGTTGTGATGGTATGTAGGCTGTGCGTGACGCCAACGTGGCCGCCCCTGGAGCTTGCGTAGCGACCCAGGCCGCGTCGACCCGTGTCTCCTGTGACGTCGCTGAGCTTGTCGTGCGGTGGTGGCGGTAATACACGCCCGACCTGTTCCTCGCGTTTGTCTGTTCCGTTCTGCCAGCCGTGCTCGGCGGCCCGAAAGAGGGCTGGCCCAGGCCGCGCCGGCTCGCGTCCGCTGTAACGACGCTGAGCTCTTGCCGTGTAACGGCGGCGGCGGCAAGGCCGACCTGGCGCCTGTGTCAGCACCGTTCTGGCGTTGACGTGCGGCGGTCCGAGAGAAAGTCCGCTGCTCTGGCAGCGAACGGGTTCGGGTCAAGGCCCGCCAACGTCAACCGTCAACGAGGAGAGGGACGACCGGACACTACAGGCGGCTGCAAACGGTGCAGGCTGTGACATATTATTCAGGAACAGTGTACAACAATCTGCCGGAATCCCAGCAACGGCATGGGGAACACACACACTTTGAGATGGCGTTTGCTGACGTTACTTCTTCGTGGGCTCAATAACAGTGTAATGGCAATTGTCCTTATATAATACTCACCACTGGACCTCATCAAAGACGAGCAAGGGTCCTAAAGTGAGGTTCAGATACGAACATTCTGTCTCGCAGGCCTTTCCTCTAAGGGCAGAAATACCGGTGATACAACACTGCGTCGTTAGTCAACACTAGTCTTGCGAGTGGGTGGCGACAGAGGCCTCTGAGGCCTCGTAAAGGCTCGCGTCACACCGCATTTAAAATGCAGTGCTTACAATGGACCGCTCACTTTTCGTAAAGGGCTATCCGTGATGTTTAGACCGTGGCAAGTGTCATTCAGATCCATGATGAAGGTCAAGAAGTGCGCAACCGCCGTCGGTAATCGCTGAAAGTAGTCTGACGTTCTTTGTTGTGCCGCGCCTCTGACAGCCAGCAATTACAAATCCATTAACGATTGGTCAGGGTAGCAGCCTAATGCGGAGACGAAGGCGGTGGATGGGAGGAGAACATCTACAAGGGAAATTGCCTCCTGGGCAGCTGTGTATATTGGTAATACGTTAAGAGGTTGGGGCATGAAAAGAAAAGGCGAGAGCGAGTGGGAGCGGATTTTCCTTTTCAAGTCTCCATCCGGGGTCGAGATCCCAGAAGGGACCTCACGTTTTGCTTGCAAGAAATGCGATTCGGTTTTCTTAGTTTGGACCACAACTCTGCCCATAACTTGAGGAGTTTCCGAGTTTTGGTCTGGGTAGGCCAGCGGGCCTTTGATGCTCCCTTCGATGTTTTTTTTCATCTATAGCAGACAGACCGTTTCCGAGACTATGTACCTTTTTTAATATTATACCGTACACTCTTGAGTGCTGGCTCAAACTTGAGTGAAGTACGATAAATAAGTCGCAAAATTTACTACATTTGGGCAGAAATGCCCTCTTCAGGTGAATCTCGAAATTTATGTTTTATGTCGAGCCAAAACGTGTAGCTCAAAACCTAACCAGAATCAGGGGCGTCAAACGTTTATAGGAAGGTCTCATGTAAAATTTATATACCGAGGCTGGTTCATCAGGCTGGCTGGTTCGTGTTGGTTGGCTGGCTGGTTGGCTCTAACAGGCTGGTTCATCCTACCTTCGTAAACATTTCGTACATGTGAGAACAGGCCATTCTGTGGTAGCCACAGGGGGCAAACAGATGGCAGCACATGGACGTCAGAAATCATGGCAAATGAACGCACGTGGGCAATCAAGGACGCCCAAAACATTGTGTGCTGAGGTCCATTTCGAGCAAGTGTTTCTGGCTACTCTAAGAAAGGCCAGGTGCTGACGTTTTTGTTCATGGATAATTTTGAATCACGAATGAAAATTGCCTCTCCAAATTTGCTTTCTTCATGTCCAAAGCACTTGCACGACATTTTCTCCCCTATTCGCATGTCAGCAAGCCCATCAAATCCGTGATGGGTCAGGACTGAAGCCCAAACGGCTTTCTGATGCCCTTGCCGAAGCCGCGCGGCGATGGTAACCAGCTTTTTACCTACCGGACTACATTCTACTATGAGGGAAGCCGGACAGAGTACATGTGACTTGATACACTGCATTGTTGGTACATCAGATATACGCGACATTGCCTCCGCTGTAAAAACTTATACAGACGTAACTTATACGCGACATCACTTCCACTGCAAAAACTTCTACAACTTTTACTCACACGCAGATATTACTTCAGCTGCAAACACACATACACGACATGAGTGCTCAAGACGAAACCTTACGCTGCAATAACTTATACCCGTCATTACTTATGTGGCGCGCGGCGTACCTACCGCCGCGGGTCACCCGCTGCTTTTTCCCACACGCGAGTACGGTTTTTGTTTACGCCCGGGCACTCGCTCCGGACATGCGCGTCAGGACGGTCAATAGAGGGCGGCCCTTTTAAAACGCTGAACCCGTCAGAGGCAAAAACAGTAATGGTATGAGGGAGAAACAGTGGCAATTGTGGGGAGTCACAATCATAGGAGTCAAAACTAGGAGCCCCCCATCAGCCTGGCGCTCAGTGACGGATTGAGTGCTGTAGCATCCCTTTAACCATGTAAGTTTAGATAATTAATCGCCGACCTTTCGACGATTCTCTGGGATACCGAACCTCTTTATCTCTGTTTATACAATTTAAGAAAACGCGATCTGTAAGGTTTTTGAGATTACGTGCTGGCACATTATTCCAGCTCTGGCATATGTCGTGCACTATGTTCATGTTTACATGCTACGGTCTCGATAAATCATGCAACATGTTGATAAGTTGCGAGATTTGCTGTTTAATTGCGCGTCCGCTAAGTGACTTCCAGTTTTATCATTGCAGATTGCCATACATAATCACTGATTGTCGATAACTTCCATTGAATGGCGGCTGGTGATGAGTGTCGAGAAGTAGAGCGGAGGATCCGGCGGATTTATCCCCAAGCTTTCACGCCATCAACGTTAACTATTCGTTGCTGCTATTTTAGTCCTGGCATTTAATGTAAACACAGTGAATGGCATATTGTCGATAGCGACACCACCGCTGGCTCCCAACAAATTTGTTGATTCGGCGCAGGCACAGTCAATTGTTTATTCACGTTCAGAACGACTAAAGTAGCTCTACATAAGAGTATGTTCATTCACCGCCATTGTCCTGAGGGGTATTTGGCGATATAATACTTCTACCTTAACAGTGAACAGGAAGCCACCGAGCCTGTCGCAAACTGCCAGATTATTAAGGACTAGCGCCCGCGTGTCACCATGCCTGATGAATGAAGAGGCTATCAAATTTTACTATCGCTCTGCACGCTCCAGGGGAGGGGGGCATCAACACTATCGCTTGCGTGTTACCAAGCGTCACGACGAGCCGGGCCGTCGATTTTGCCAGAACACTGCATGCACAAGAGAAAACGACGTTAAACAATTAATGCACCAGCCCGACGTAGCAGCTGTGGCCACACTACCTGGTAGGTAGTAGTACCTATCAGCTGACCTACTACCTATCAGCTGGCCTACTACCTGGGTTTTAGTACGATGGGGTCGACATATCGACCGCACCATTGACATGTGGTGCTTCGGCTGTGCATACATATGTATTGTGCATGTACTGGCTGTGCTGTACATATGACACTCTATAAACTGTGGATTGTCATGGAGCTCTGTTGGATCTTACTGGAATGCACTAAATCAGGAAGACATGACGCGTCGCAGTCGGGTCCATATTTATACGTCAATATCCCCTTAGTTCCGATATTGCGTGAAGCTTTGGGCGGCTGTGCATTTTCCACGAGTGCAATAGAATGAGCCTTATCACGATGGGCTAAATGCACCAAAGATGCATTGCGCAATGACTCCTCGCGAGGAACGACGAAGAAAGTCCTGTGCGGTGCGTAGGCAGTTGTCTGGCCGTGGGTGGAAAGGTCCCATTCCCCACGGAAGTTGACAAGTTGGCTGTTGGTCGATCTATCTTTGACTCACAGATGAGGTGGGACGCATTTTTACACGTCGCTGGCCGCTAGTGAGGGTAGCAGTAGCACATGTATGATGCCGTTGGTGGATTAGCGACTCGCAAAACGTGAGATTCGCATTTCAGCTGCCTTCTTGCGATTCCCAGAGGGTGAAAGCTGGAAAAGGGCGTCGAGCTGTTGGAAAAGCTGGTTGATTTTTCCGTTGGTGAATCGGCTTGTGGCCACAGAGGGAGTTTCGCTAAGATGACCAGGGGTAACTGACGTTTAGCGCTGGCAGTACATTGGCCACTGATGGTGCCTTTGTTAGAATCAGTCTAGCGACTCCAGAAGACGTGGTTCGCGCAAATGAGCCGATTAGGGATTCCGTTGTGCCGATGTGGGATACCGGCGACTGAGTGCTATGAGCCGATATGGGATTTCGGCGTGCTGACGAGAGATTCCGGTATTATTCAGAAAGGATAAAAAGGGAGACTACGTGTTGATGACGCGGTGAGTCTTGCACCAGATGGCTACAATTTACTGGGCATAAATTTCCAGGTACGCTAGGCGTATGGCTGCACGGTTCCGCTCTTAACACGCGCCCGGGTGGCCGACTGGATACCCTTCGCTCGGATGGGAGTCGATTTGACCCCGCTGAGATCTCGAAAGCTAAGAAAGCTAGATACAATAATTTTACAGGGTCTGTTGACTTGTGCGTGAACCCATGTGGGTCCAAGTTTGAGGTTCCTAAGTCAGACCTTCCGGTCAAATAAGGTCAAACAAGATCAAATTCCAGGCTGGTCTTCAAAGTGCCCCAGAGCCTAGATAACTGTTTGTAAGTAAAAGGTCGCATGCTTATTTAAGGTCCGTGACCTCGTTTAGCCCTTTGAAGATTGTGGTGATCAAAATAATGCAAGACTGCTATGAGTTTTGCATTTGAATAAGCGACAAAGATTATGCTCGGCAGTATGTTCCTAAAAACAAAATATTGACCTGGGTCATTATAGGTCAATAATCTAAGAGGTCATTGACCTAAACTGACACCTGACTGACTCCTAAGAGGTCCATGGAAGATGTATAATGTGGATCCTGCAAACAAACATCAACGAATTGAAATGAGCACCAGAAACTATCCCATACAGCAAGCCCTAGGGCAATAAAACAGGTTGGTTTTGACTTTGGTCTGACCTTTATACCTGACCTTAGGTCAATATAATTTGCTTCTTCAATATTTGTGTTGTCTGAGAAAGCACCTCAGAGATGTATGGTTTATTCTAACACTCCATTGTTGCCTTTAGATTGACCAACTCCCTGGAAATTGTCTTCGCTGAAACCATGGCCTGACTTTAATCTGTCATAGGTCAGCGGCCTTACAAGGTGCATCTAAAATTGTTATACTAAACTTTCCGCCATTCAAATGTTTACAGATGTGTAAAATTTGCCGCGGCTGCGCCGCGCCGCTCGGAAACCATTCTGGAAAAACCTTGGGGGGGCAATTTGATCCCCCACCCGAACGCGTATTAATTGAGGGGTCTGATCGTTGCGAATAACGTACAGACTGTGTGTAGTGACTGCACTGTAGCCCCCCGCCCCTTTAATGCGGCCGGCGACAAGCATGCATGATACGGTGTGAATGCATGAATGTTAGTTGCGGAATCCCAGTAAAGTGACGTTTGCTGCCCATGTGAGGATGAAAGCGTTGGTTTCCTTAACTCCCGCGCAACACTTATGTAGCAAAAGCTTATGCAGTCTTCACTTACACGCGACATTACTTCTATAGAAAAACTTAAACACGACATAAGTACTACGCGATAAAGTTGGTGGGCATCACCCCTCACCAGCTTTCAAGTTGGGAGGGGGAGGCGTGATGCCTTGATTACCCCTCCCCCCGGTTCCAGCGCTCTTCTGGTCAGAAGGTCCCAACCAACGCAAGATGCCTTTTGACATTCGGGGCTCCGTCCCTACCTCCTTGATAAGGCAGAGGAGGACGCCACCGGCCAAGGGCTCCCCAATAGGCCAAACGATTCCTGAGTGACCCAAAGAGCTCTGATCAACTAAAAGCCCCACATGTGGTCAGAGGGGCCCTTAGCACACAAGACCCTGAGCAGACAATGCGATCTCAGAACGATCAAAGAGCCTTTGGGCAGTCCTAAGCTGCTCTCGTTGCTCTGAAGAGACTCTGAAAGGCTGGATGACCTTAAGTAGCTATAAAGGCAGTGTACCCCTGGTGAGCAGAAAGAGCCTGCTGAATGGACAGAGGGGCCCTTAGTTGGCACGATGGGTCTACTGAGCATCTATAGGAGAGATTGCTATTGTCCGGACTTTGATTCTGCCAGATAGACTTCTCGCGTGTTTCTCATTCAGCGCGCTCATTTTTGTTCGAACTGCATAAGCAGAATGGGGCCCTCCCAAAGGACCCTTGGGCTTCCCGCCCTCATATTTCTGGTTTTCCTGGGCCCAAGGGTCGCCCCCTGGGGCCTCCCCCGACCCCTCAGTAGGATTTCCAGCCATATTAGTGACTGCAGTAGCCGCGGTAATCAGACGTCATGGCGCAATAGAGAGTTTCGGACTCTAATGCGCCAACCACTCGGCCAGTACGCCCCCTACACCTCTAACCCAAGTCTGGCAAGTAGCTCATGTAGCGACATTCCGGTACCCTTTTGGGACGCTACGCTCATACGGCGTAACCTGGAGAAATGGTCTTCGCCCAGCGTTACTAGTACACAACTAGTGTGGAGGAGAGTGGGGAAAATACCCCGAAATTCATACTTTAAGATGTAGACGGCTCCATACCACGTAAAACCAATGCCGACTGCCGTTTACGATCAGGTCCCTGAGGTACTGCGTCGTTCAAGGTCCGATCCCTAAAAATACTGCGTGCCGTTGACCCTTTGAGCTGCCATATCATGAAGTGTTTCCCAATATTGCGCACGCCTGACGATACGTAACTGGTGCCAGTTGGCAGCGCGGCAACTGGTTGAGTAACGGGAGGTAAGTGGGGGGTCGTGTTACCTGTGGAGGGATGGTGGTATTTTACGTGAAATGAGTTTTATAGATTAATTCATAGTATTTGCACACCTTCACGCATCAAAATGCCTCATACTTAAGCAGCGGGCTCCCGGTATATGTCGTCTTAACATGGGTTGACATCAAACTCGGCAGGCACTCCACTTCTCACGTGCTGCGACATGCTTCTGCTGCGAAAGCCCGCGGGAGCCTGTCCGCCTACTCAGAGAAAATCTGTTACGATTACAATGCCTGTGTTTTCGGTGTCGCAGTCAGATGCTCTCGGAATTGATGAATTCTGCGCAGCCTTTGGTGGCCAGATAAGTTTGCTATGTACAACAAAACTTTCACTGGCACTTTCAGTGGTTCAAAGATCAATGATACTACAACACAAGTATACACACAACATTCTAATTCCTAGGTTACCATAAAGGAAGGAAGGAATACTGAGAAGACTTGTTGCAGAGCAAGGGCAAACATAAAGGTACCTGTGTTAGCAAATTGTGCCATCTGGGCTCAGCTTTATCCGGACTGATGTCGCATGTGGCACATATGCTGCACTCCGGGTATCCCAGCATTCCCCCAAATGAATGTATTGAGCTGCCTGATAAGTTTCAACCTGATAAAAAGAATGGAAATTACTAACAGCATACAAGGAGTGGGCCAGCAACTTTGATATGGTGATGGTCAATAGCTTAACATCACTTCATTTTGTGCTGTTCTATATGACCATGATGAATATGATTTGTGTATTGCCTGTGTGAGGTATATGTACATTGCAACATGTCATCCAAGATTAAGATTAAGATTGGAATGCACACATGTAAGGTTTAGTTGACCTGGAAACTTGTGTATCCACCTTGTATTTCATTATGATTGTCTGTGCCATTTTAAGCAGGCAGTAACAATTTTACAAAAAGGACCTCGATATCAGATTTGGGACACTAATAATCATTCAATCACTTGTCTGCTAGACTCCAAATTACTTTTTTTGGCTTACCATATACATGTCTGCAACTATCTAGCAGCCAGCTGTTTGGTGCTTCTCAGTCTGGTGGCTAGGTACAAAGCCCTTTTTCAGCACAATGCCAGCAATATTTTCTGATGTTTACATGGTGTATTTATAGAAATGAAAATATTAGTCTGCTGTTAGATTCCTCTGTGTGACTTATTTGAATTTATTGTGATTGCGGCTTCAGATGACATTACCAACAGCATGATCAGGGACTGACAACTAGATGTCTAAACTAGCAGTGCCTGCCAGAGGATGAACAGGGTCACAAGGCCTTACAAAAGGGTTTAGGGGGCCCCATAGCAGGCTTATCCCCATCGGTCAGTGATTGTTCCACCTTTTTGTCCAAACTTTGGTTGTACAGAAATCCTTAACATGTTGACATGATTGCAGGTAATAACATTTCAACATGATTGTAGAAAAGCCAGAAGTCTTGAAGCAGTGGATGGCAGACACATTGGAGCCCCTGTGAGTATGGCTATACCTAAGTGTGAGCCCTGGCAAAATGTAAATCATAGCTATGTTGAATTAAGGTGGCTTTTTTGTATGTTTTGCTTTTGTTCTAAAGATGCTAATTCAGCGAATTATCACCCTCCCTGCCAACTTTTTCCAATGGCTTCTTGTGACATTTGCAAGTTATGTGAGTGCAGTTAGCTAAATACCATTTGAAATATTTTTGTTAACACTGTCTTACTTGGCAGGTGTGATGCAGAGCCCACCAAACTTGCCAGATATGTCCTGGCACTCATCAGGAAGGAGATATCGCCAGAGCGGCTGCGGGCCAGTATGCTGGACAACCTGGATGTATTCTTGCATGAGCGAGCCAGCCAGTTCGTGGAACGACTGCTGGCGGCGCTGGAGACGCGCTCGTACGAGGGACGCACGGACGGGCGCGTGGTGACACGGCCGGCGCCGCCAGCGCCGCGCCGCCAGGTCCTGCTGCCCGATCATGACGACAGCTGCGCACAGAGGTCAGCTGGTGCAGGTGGCGCCTTATCTGGCCACAGATGTTGGTATGTACGCATCATTTTTGGCCAGTTCATTCTATAGCCATTAGCAGGTGTTATCGGGTCCTGAGAAGGACTGGATAGTGTTCGACTTTCAACTGGGTTCGCGTCACAACCCGAATTTTATCCGTGGCGCTGCTGGGATTCGAACCAGTATCCTCTGATTGTGAGGCCAGCGTTGTAGCGTTACAGCGAGCTGGTGAGAAAAAAAGCAGTTCGAATCCCGCCAATTGGAGGGACAAAGTTCGGGTTGTGACGCGTACATGATTGAAAGCTGAATACCAACCTGAGCCCTTCTCAGAACTCACCACTTGAGGATGAGATGGAAAAACATTGTGCGCATTTTACGTTAGCATACACAACAGACTGGAACGACATTGCGAACAAGCATTCAATCCCCCGTAAGGATAACGCCTGATTTCAATCATCCCATGAACGTGTAAGTCAGCATCTGCCCCGCGTGCTGGTTGAGTGACGTGCACATGACCCGTGACGTCGCCCTGACCGGGCGTTGGCTCGCGTGTCGCCAGGTCGCCGTGCCCCGAGCGGCACAACCGCCGGCGTGCGGGCTCCGCCTCCCCGCCGCGACCAGGCGAGGGCCGCCGCAGCCGCAGCCGCAGCCGCAGCCGCAGCCGCAGCCCGACCAGGGCCGGCCGCTCGCCTGGTGAGAGTCTTCCCGCCGCCGCCGGCCGCCCAGCTCGGCACCGGCGGATAGTGCTGCACTGCCGCCGGCGTGCTTTGGGAAATGATGGGCGCAAAGCGCTGCCGGGCTGGCTTCATGTCTCGACAGGACTGGGCGGTCAACTGAGATCTCGTCGAGATGGCGCACACCGGACATGCCACATCCGCGCTATGCCAGTGCGCCGGCGGCGTGGCCTGGTCAGACCCGGCGGGTGGTGTCGGACAGGCATTGACCTGGATGACCTGTTGCAGTGCGCCCGCCCGGCCGAGGGGACGACGCGACGAACGTGACGGACCTGCGGCAGCGACTGGGCGCCATGCTCGGCCACCGCCGCCGCTGCCGCGACTTCAACGGTGAGGGGCCGAGCCGACGCCGGCGGCCTATCGTTCGGCGTCGGCGGCCTATCGTTCGGCGCCGGCACCTATCGTCCGGCGGCCTATCGCGCGGCTTCGGTGGCTTATAGTCCGGCGTCGGCGGTCCGGCACCGTGTCGAGGCACGCCGTGTCGCCGTCCGGCTTGGTCGGACGCGGCGCCGGGACCCCACCGGCATGCGGCGCGCGTTCCTGTCCGAGCGCCACAGGCGCCGTGTGGACTGAGCCGAGCCGAGCCGAGCCGAGCCGAGCCGAGCCGAGCCGAGCCGAGCCGAGCCGAGCCGAGCCGAGCCGAGCCGAGCCGCGCACGAGAGCACACTGTCCTGTGCACCGTCTCGGTCGAGTTTGTTGTTCGCGGTCTCCTCACATACCGGCCGTATTTAACGAACGGTCAGCGCCCGCCGCCCGGAAATACCACCGCGCGTTAGAAAGCGTGGAGTGATGGCGAATGTCATTCCCATGCCTGTCAAATAAGTTTTAAAGCATTGCAAGTTAACGCGTTTAGTTAAGAAAGCTATATCGTATTGAACGGTTTGATTGTAGATGAAAGATGGATTTAAGTCCCAAAGGTTGATTTCCTGAGCTTGGAGACCATTTGCTGGTGATCCAGATCATTAAGATATATTTCCGTATTTGGCACACCTGGTGTCAACAGCTAATCTTATGGATATATATATATATATATATTATATATATATATATAATAATATATATAATATATATATATATACATATATTATATTATAAATATATATATATATGTAAATATATGATATATATGTTTAATAGTTTTGTGTGTGTTTGTGTGATGGGGTTATCGGGTGTGTGGGTGGGTGTGTGTGGTTGTGGGTGGGGTGTGGTGCGGGGGTGTGTGGTGTGTGTGGTGTGGTGGGTGTGTGTGTGTGGGTGTGTGCGTGCGTGCGGTGGCGGTTTGCGGTGCGGGTGCGGGTGCGGTGCGGGTGCGGGTGCTGTGTGGGGTGTGCGGGTGCGTGCTGTTGCGGGTGTGCGGTGTGTGTGTGCGTGATTTGTTGTGGATTTTTGATACTATACTTAGATGTAAGAGAGCAGCTCGAGGTGGTTATTTTATATATTTTTACAAATACACTTTATATTCGCCCGGGTTCTTATTTTTTTACACGTTGGCTTGCCCTGTAATGGACATGTGCCCCAGGGTTTGGGCGATGCTCATGCGGTGAACATGATGGGTCAGTATTCCGTCGCGTGAGGTCCAGAGCGGTGCACTTGACGTATTCACCAGGCCACTGCACTGGGGCAGAACCTCCTGGAAGAAAACACTTATGAGCGTCTCAAATAGTACGGTACATGCCATTCACGAAAACAGGAAATATGTGCACTATATGTATTAAGATTTTCCTCAAAATGCAGCTAAGGTTCAAAGAAGTGTTATGAGTCAGGAACAGCGCGAACGAACGCGAATATGTAGTTTAATCCTGACAGTAAGAACTTGATGCTTGATGCACGTCATGATCACCGTAATTACTTAAGTGCACAAGCTTGGTCATAGTGAACGTCAAGATCGCATCTCATGGCACTGAAATGTTGAATTTTGCCTTCAATTGAATTTTGATGTTTCTGCATCGCCTAACGAAAGCAAGTAGTAGAATCATGACGGTCATGGCGTATTGCGATATTTTGTCCGTTTCTGAATACCGCTGTCGAACGCGCCATTTATCACCGCCATGGTGTGTAGGGATATTTCCGTTTCGATACCACTGTGGAAGGCCATTATACCTCTGGTGTGTACTTGATTTGTGTCCGTTTCCGAATACCACTGGAACGTGCCATTTTTCACCGTCAGGACGCGTAGTGATATTTTTTCGCTTTCTGAGACCACCGTGGAGTGCCATTTGACCGTCATGGATGATTGTTTCCGTTTCTGATACCACTGTCGAACGTACCATTTATCACCGCCATGGTGTGTAGTGATATTTTGTCCGTTCCTGAATACCACTGGTGCCACACGTCGGTGCATTATATTCACCGTCGAAGGCGCCATTGCCGTGCGTGCATTGATGTGTTCTCCGTTTCTGAGCACCACTGTGGAACGTGCCATTTATCACCGTCATGGTGTGTAGTCATATTTTGTCCGTTTCCAAATACCACTGTCGAACGTGCCATTTATTACCGTCGTGGTGTGTAGTGATATTTCGTCCGTTTCTGAATACCACTGTCGAACATGCCCATTTATACGGCACCTATTAAACATCTGTTGCGTCTTGCTGGGCAGGTGCCGCACCACTGCCCTGACCTGACCTGACCGTGCGCTGCCACAGAGCGAGGCGCCTGCCTGCGCGGCGAGCTGTGCAAGTTTGACCATGGTCCGGCGCCTCTGGTGGTGCAGAGGGACGACGCCACCAGCGTCACGGCGCCGTTCAGTTGGCCAGTACCGCCGCCGGCCGCCGCTGGCGGTCAGGACACGGAAGGTCGGTGACCTGATGTTGGCCGGTACGGCGTCGGCGTACTGCCCCGCCTGCCGGTGTTTTGGGTCAATGCACACGGGGCGTTGTTTCGTCGGCCAGTGTGCCGTGTCACCTCGGTACTCTCGAGCGAGAGGCTTGGTTTCCCACCACGATGGTCGTCACATCTCTGCTGTGTGTCGGCGGCTGCATCGGTTGATGTCGCTGCCGTGTGTACGGGCCTGCCGGCGGTGGTGTGTGACGGACGCCGCCGCGCCGACAGATCCGTGCCAGCCGGACTTCGCTGGACCGACGGCGAACGGCCGGCCGGGCTCTCCGCCACTCGGACTGGCCCTGCCGCCCCCGCCTCCCCGCCAGCCCGTGAGTCCGCCGCCGCCGCCTCCGGCCCGTCACGCGCACTGGCTGTAATGTCGCCTGCCCGGGATGGGGCATTCCGGGGAGTTTCATGGGGCCGCGCTGCTAGATAAGCTGCTAACGGTCCGCCGGTGCGGTGGGTGCGGTGCTCCGTGCGGTCGCCCTTCTGTGGTGACCTGGTGCCGGTGTCTCTCCGGGTTAGCCGCCCTCTGCACTCCCCGCAGTATCTCATCGCACCACTCGACACAACAACCAGGCTCAGTCAGCCTCGATACGACTCGGTATGCTCCCGCCGTCGTTCCGCAACCGTGCTGCTGCACGCCGTGGCTGGGCTATCGGCAGTGGACGGCCGCACGCGCGCGCTGGTCGTCCGCCCCTGACCCTGTCGCGCGGCGGCCTGCGGTGTCGCTGACGAGGCGGCGGTGTGCGCGCTCGCGTGCCCGGGCCGGACCGGGCGGCGACGGCTCCGGACCGGCGGTCGGGAACCCCGCTGGCCGCGACTCAGCGTTTTGGGCAGGCAGGCGCCGGTGGGGTCGACACAGGATGCGTGACACCGCGCGCTGGGGCTGAGACCCGGTCAGGGTCGTTGCGCCGGAGAAAGTCCTTTGCGTCCGGACTCGATACGGGGCGACTGGGCGGGGGGAGGGGAAGAGCTGACCCAGGGGCTCTATCTCAGCCGCTGCGCGAGGTCTCAGAGCCGACCCGATCTGACCTGAGAAGATGGAGTGGTGAATAGTATTAGCATCATGCAGCTGAAATACTGGTACATATCGATGGCATAATTTTTCGCACCGTCGTCTCCGTTTGGTGTGTTAGTTTGTACATAACGTTTCGGCCAGTTAACTCTCCGGCTGTGGTTAGGTGCTATGGAGTATGGAGAGAGAAGGTCTGGATGGTGCTTGGCCATCAGCCATGTGTGCATCACAACCCGAATTATCTGCTTAGAATTGCGGTATTCAAACCAGGGTTTTCTTGATTGCAAGTCCATTGCCCTACCAACTGAGCTAACCGTAAAGGACTTCCATGGGCTTTCCATAATACCGGATGGACGAAGTCGATAGTCCGAGCATTTACTGCATCTGTGATACTAATACCTCGTCTCAATCCTTCCCTAGAACTGGTCCATTATCCTGGGGTACTTGTTTGTAGTACCATGTGGATGCCGACAACCCATACGGATGTTTAATGTCTCGGAAAATCGTCTTGCCAGCCCCAATGACTGGCTGACTACGATTAATGAAATATCTGTAATGCTAAGACAGTACCTTTTTCGGTGAATTGTCCTGTGTTTTATTATGATGAATATGGCCATAATGCTGACAAAGTGCTAGGATAATCATCCCATCATCTGACATTTGATCTGATATCTGTCAGCTGTCAGGTGTCTGACTGTGCTCCGCCAAGTCGCGGCGGGCAGCGGGCGGCGCTGGTGACGCGTGTGGTCTGCGGCGTCGACAGGGCGCGGCTGCAGACGGCGAGGGCGCCGCCGGCGGGACCGGGGACCCACGCACTCTGGAACTGCGCCGCGTGCCTGCCGAGCTGAACCAGATCCGACCTCTGGCTAGCCACCTGGCGCGCTTCGGTCGCGTGCTCCACATCCAGGTGAGGGGCCTGCGGGGCGGTGGACGATCCGAGACGCCCGCTGCTCGCGGTGCCAAGGTGGAGGTCAGGGGTCACGGCGCTGACTGGCGCCGCTCCCAGTCGCAGCTCACCTGCCGCCCGGGCTATCAGGCCTGTTTCCATGGGTTTTGTTGGACGCGGTTTTGTTGGACGTTGGCGTTTGCGGCCGTTATGGGGGGGGGGGGGGGGAGGGTCAGCAGGCGCGGACTTGTTCCTGTTTTGGGTAGCTTTTTTAGTGGATGACAAGCTTGTGGGGAGCGAGACACCGTATTGTGGTTGTCTGCCACGTTCACTTGAATCATCTTAGCCGCTGGTATCAGTCCGATCAGTCTGGTTTTGGGGCAGTGACATCACGCATTGAGTGATTGCAACCTAGCGTGCTGCTCGCTGATCGTAAGCAGGCGTCACGGAAAGAGCACCCTCGCAGCGGCTGTCTCCATGCCTCCACCGACGTGGATATGGTGCCGATTAATGATGTCAGTCAGTTTTCTCGCACAGCTTGCTGTCCATCGCAAGACTTGGCTGTGTCTTCTAAAGATGCGATATTTTTTGCCTGCTCTCTATATGTTCTGTAAATGCCTGGCGTGAGGTCCGGCCGTCGTGTGTCTTTTCGGCACTACACTGCCCCTGGCTGGCGACCGCGCGGCCGCTCTGCCGGGACCCCCGTCCCGAGGCGGTCCCCTATACAATCCTGCCGTCGTGCCGGGGCCCTCTGTCCCACGGCGGTCTCCTATACGACCCCGCCGTCGTGCCGTGACCCCCTGTCCCGAGGCGGTCCCCTGTAGGACCCCGCCGTCGCGCCGGGAGCCTCTGTCCCACGGCGGTCTCCTATACGACTCCACCGTCGTGCTGTGACCCTCTGTCCCGAGGCGGTTCCCTGCACGGGATTACCGTGGATTGGGTCATCCAGTGCAGCGCGGATGGCGTGCTCGGCTGGCATCTGACCGAGCCGATGACCGCCAGGTGGGGCTCGGCGGCGACCCCGAGTCGGCCCTGGTGACCTTCTCCAGCGCGGAGGAGGCGGCGGCCGCGCTCTCGTCGGCCGAGCTCCTGCTGCCGTGCGCCCAGGTCACCGTGCTCGGCCACGCCGTGGACCCTGCGGCCGCGCCGCGCCCAGAGGTCAGTGCGGCCGGCGGGTCCGTCTCGAGCAGGGATGACGCGTCGGCGCGGAGGGATCGGGGCAGCGTGAGCAGACAGTAGCAGTCGCTTGGAGCTGGCTACGCCCTGCAACCGCTTGCAGCTGAGCCGCCTAACTGGTCTAACATGCAAGAGACCGAGCAAATTCCAAACATTGCATGCATAGAAGCTTTGCACGCGCTGTGGTAGATGGCGCGGCGGTAACGGGCAGCCGCTTTCTGCTCATGATAACACTAGGATGTGGCTGAAGGTTTTCCACACATCTTTCAGGTAACGGCCGTACCTACCGAATGGCTTTGCCCAGTACCGTAATGGCTTTGCCCAGCGATAAGCTGATTGCCTCACTAGCCAGTAGTCTTCATGCTTGCATGCTTAATTATTTGGTTTCCCAATGTCATCACCAAGACGGACGTTGTGAGTCCGTGACTGCCTGTGTGGCAAGATGGGAGGAATCAAGTCATGCCCAGCCGCTGCCAAGAATAGCTAGTCGGCCATCTCCACGAAGATTCGTTCCCTAAGTCGTGCAACCTCAGCAAAGGTGCGGTCCTTGTACCGCTGTACGTGGTGGCTCGTGGCAGGACTGACGGTTCCTATTGTCACCATCAGGCGGCGTTGCCGGAGCGGCTGCCGGCGGCGGCGCGCCAGCAGAGCGAGCGGAATGTGACGCCGCTCCAGCAGAGCGAGCGAGCTGTGAGGTCGCTCCAGCAGAACGGAGGAGCCGTCCGGCGCGCCCAAGACCTGCAGGCCGCCTCCGACAGGCTGCAGGCCAAGCGGAAGGAGGGCCGACAGGTGTGCCGCGCCAGGCCGTGAGGCTCGCCTCGCGTCGGCCGAGCCCGGGCTCAGACGCCGGCTCTTGGTGCTTGTTCTCTGGTGGCACATCGCTGCGTGGCGTCCGCGAAAGGGTGAAAACTCAAGCAATGCTGTTAGTAGACGTAGATAACGGTGATGCGGTTATATTTGTTAGGTGGCTAGATGTCGAGTAGATCAGGGTGCTGGTGAATGATGCGGTTATATTTGTAATATCAGAAGATGTCGATTGGATCAGGAGGTGCTGGTGAAGATGCGATTATATTTGTAATATCAAAATATGTCGAATGGATCAGGAGGTGCTGGTGAATGATGCGATTATATTTGTAATATGAAAAGATGTCGATTAGATCAGCAGGCGTTCGTGAATTGGACACATGACCCTTCCGTGGTGTTCCAGCGCGTCAGGCTGATGGTCAGACTCCCATCTGTGCCGGCCCCGCAGCGGTGGCTCCGCGCGCGGCGGTGCGGCTTACTCTGGCCGCCCGTGTCCGACAGGAGGCGCTGACGTTGGCGGCCCAGCTGCGGCAGCGGGAGGCCGAGCTGCTGGCGCGCCAGCTGAGCCAGCAGCGGCAGCTGCTGGCCCGGCTGCAGAACCCCGGCCTGAAGCCGGCCGAGCGGGCGGCGCTGATGGACGCCGCGCGCGCTCTCCACGCGGCTACGCTGCCCACGCGCGCCAGCCTGGCCTCGACGCTGCAGCGCAAAGCGCCGCCAGCCACGCCGCCAGCCGCGCCGCCGGCCGCGCCACCAGCCGCGCCGCCGGTCGCCGTCAGTGCCGACGCCCAGGTGGTACGTGCGCAGGTGCGGCGGGCTCCCGCCAGCGGTGTCCGGGTCGATGTCCGCTTCGAAATCGTGCAGTGATGCCTGATGCCGTGTTATGCTCCGTGACGCGTCTGGATACAAAACTGTGGCCGCGTTTGGCGTCCCATGACAGCCGGGATGCCGATGTCACGCAGGCGGAGCGTGCGCGGCTGGACCTGGAGCTGGAGCTGTTTCAGCGACAGAAGGCGGGCGTCGACACGGAACCGCTACAGCGGCGGCTGGCCGAGCTGCGGCCTCGGCCCGCTAAGTCAGCACCGTCCGGCAGGTCAGTGCCAACCACGGGTCAGTAGCAACCCCAGGTCAGAAGTAACCATCAGGTCAGTACTAACCATCGGGTCATTACCAGCCGTCGCGTCAGTACTAACCACAGGGTTAGTGCTTACTGTCAGGTCAGCACCAACAGTCAGGTTAGTACAAACCGCCAGATTAGTGTCAACCAGCAGGCCAGTACCAGCTATCTGATCAGTTCTAACCGCAGGGTCAATACCGAACGTCAGGTCAGTACCACCAACCGTCAGGGCAGTACCAACCGTCAGGTCAGTTCCGGCTGTCAGGTCAGTAGGAACCGCCATGTTTGTACCGACCGTCAGGTTGACACCCATGGCCAGGCCACTCGTCTACCTGCAGCCAGGTCAGTACGGGCACTCCTTACTGTCCAGGTCGGCATCAGAACTGACTCACCGGTCTATATAGATATCTCCGTTCAGTACCAACTTCCGATTTAGGTCAACGGAGCGGAACTCCTGGATTATGATGGCGCTTGGGATCAGCGTACCGCTGGGGACATCAGGGTGACGGGACGCGGCCTCGTGACGAAGACAAGGCATTCGAGCAGATAATTCGTTCTCTTTCACATGACATTCAGTGAAGTTAGGACTAAATATGGCTTCAACGCCGTCGTAATCATAACGTTTTGTGTTCGAAAACAGCGCTGGCCAGCGCGGACACCCTTGAGTACGTTAGTGGACTGGGTCGTGTAACCGCATGTGCCGCTCGGACTGACTCGGACTCGTCTGGTCGCAGACTCGTCGGTCGCTCCGGTCGGGGTGGACTGAGGAGCCCGCCTCGGCGGACTAAGATTGACCGCCGACCAGCTACGCTGAGCATAGCCGACTTCGAGCCGGTCGGCAAGGAGACTGTGCTCGCCCATCTGAGGGTGAGTGGTCAGGCGCTGGGTCATCTCGTGATGCGGTGCTCGAAGAAATTAGCACGTGTAGAACCACTGTCAGCGATGCTGGTCGGTCGCTTGGTTGTTACAGTCGAAGGAACAAGCATATGCAGAACCACTCTCAGCAATGCCAGTCACTTGCTTAGTTGTCACCGTTTAATTCGTTTTGATTGGGTGTTACCAGCTGGTGCCTTAACATTGATGCATGGAGGTGACCAACCCGCTGGGGCTCCACGGATCAGCCGTGATCATATAAAAACCGCTCCACGGAAAATGTCCCCATGCAACTTACCATGGCACCCCACGAAAAAGAGGACTGCCATTGCAATCGGGAGTACCATAATGTACCCTCCTGACACACCGCTTGATCACCAGAGACATACAAATAGTTCGTGGGGCGGTTCGAACCGGCCTGTCGGAGCCCCTGAGCGACACAGATAGCTGCCAGATGTTTCACCCGATGATCAGTTAGAAAGTCGCCAGAAATGTCCACTGACCAGTCGCGTCGCGTCACAAACTGAACTTGGTGGGCGGCCTGGGTGTTGTGCGCCACATTCATCGGAGCATGAAACCGGGATGCAGCGTTACTTCTATGGAGTGCCTCTAAATATGTGTTGACCAAGTTGACCAAGTTGATGATGCAACACGTGGCATGCGTTTACAGCGTCTTGTAACTTTGGCTGTCCATTCTAGCCCCTCAAATTGTGCAGTGTAGTTAATCGACGTATTTTACTATCGCCAGTATCCCAGGCCTGAGAGAGCAAAAAATCACACACATAGACACACACGCAGCCCTGACACACGAATAGCAGGCCTGGAATAGTCCGATATATGATAACTTTATCAACAAAGTGCATGGAAGCGACCTCTATTCCGGCCCAGACCGGGATCGTGTCCCCCTTAGTGGCCACGTCCGTGCAGTGTCCGACCTGACGTGTGACGGTGTCTCTGTGTGCCGAGGACCGAGGTCGTGTCTCACTTAGCGGCCCGTCTTTGCAGTCCCCAGCCTGGCGTGTGGCGGTGTCTCTTTGTGCAGAGGACCGAGGTCGTGTCTCACTCAGCGGCCCGTCCGTGCAGTCCCCAGCCTGACGTGTGGCAGTGTGTCTCTGTGCCGAGGACCGAGGTCGTGTCTCACCCAGCGGCCCTGTTCGTGCAGTCCCCAGCCTGACGTGTGGCGGTGTCTCTGTGTGCCGAGCAGCGGTTCGGCGCGGTGCGTGCCTGCCGGCCGGCCGCCGACAAGCGCGCGCTGCTGGTCACGCTGGCCACTCGGCGCCAGGCGGAGGCGGCGCTGGCGGCTGGCGCCACCATCGGAGGCCACCGCCTCGCCGTGGGCTGGCCGGCCCCGGCCCCGACGCTCGCCGCCGGCGTCCAGGTACGGCACCGCGACCCCCGCTCTGGCCGCTCCCGGTCCCGACGGAGCTCGGCTGCCGGGTCTGGCGAGGGGCCGGCGGCTGCGCCGTGTCAGGGACCATGTCCTCGCCACATGTGCAGTTTGTTGCATCCGTAGGTCATAGGACGTGGGGCGTCGGAGGACGTGCAACACATGAGTTAGGTCCACAAGGTCATAGGGTGTGGATGCAGGCACATGGGATCGGAAAATACGGTCGCGCGTCACACATTCGGAGGTGCGGTCGCGTCGCAGTGCAACGCCGTGGATCACACATCGCTTGAAGACCCTGCTCAAATGCTACAGGAAGAGTTCAATGCTCTTCACCAGTAACTGATGGTCGGCATGTTATGCTGTTGACGACTGGCCCATGTTTTGTTTTTTTGACATATGGAATAGTTTTAATATCCCATACGTTTCCACTTTTGCCGTGGGGTGTCGTCAAATCAGTCGGCCAACCACTGAATCGTTCATTACGACTGAACAGGATAACGCTGGAGCCACTTCAACAGTGGGAGGTTGTTGGTGCCGAATAGCTCAGATTCTGTCATCTGCATTGTAAGTTATTTAAACCTTAAGGGATGCCTCTTGGGGTTGGTAGTGGCAAGTGTTTTTGGTGAAAAATGCGCGAAAAATGTTATTTTGAAATCATCGGGCCCCTGATTCCGATTATCAGGGATCTGCTGTGTTTCGAAGTGATTCGATTTCACCTGTCCTTTGTATTGCGATTTCATGCGAAATCGAAATCAGGCAGACTGGACGGATATGTTGGGTGGTGCGCCAGTTGCAATGGAGACCTGCGTGGGTGTAGCCGCGCCGAAGTCGGGTTACTGGATTCTGTGGTCAATTTAAGGGTTTTGCCCTCGCTATGCTGTCACCACATAAAGCCTAAAGATTTCCCGCGAGTTCCGCCTTTCCTATCAGGATGAGATGTAGGCGACGCCATGTGACCTTGGCGGCCGAGTACGTCGTAAAGCCCCAATAATGCACAAACTAAAAAATAGCCTTATCTGGCGGCCAGTCCAGTGCCTCACCGACCCCAGTGACACCCCTCCCCCTCCCCCCACCCCCTCCCCACGCGGACGTGTCTGCCGGTGGCCGTTGACGTCCGACGCTCCTGGTTCGCAGACGAATCCAGCAGAGGTGGGGTCGGAAGCGGACAACGAAGCGGGCACACAACTCCGATCACGACAATTTGGAGGAAGGAGGCGACGAACGGCCCTGGCGTCGCTAGTCGGGCGGCGCGCGGAACGGTCCTGCACTCCTGACGCGCGACAGACGATAGCTCGGCCAGCAGTCTTCCAATCATCAGACGCGGAGTGGCGGGCTCTGCGCCGCGAGGGCCTCTTCGGAGAATCGCACGTGCTTGATGTGCGCCGGATATTTGCCAGCTAGGCCCAAATACATTGCGTCAGTCGGACGGCGCGTCTGCGGTCCTGGATCTCATATATGGAAATACCACCGAACTGTGGATTAACGAGTGGCCCTTATCACCAAATTGTCGTCGGACGGCAGCTGTACAGTGGATCCCGCAATATTCATCATAATCTGGCAGCTGCACTGCAACGGTAGTGCCAACTTAACTATGTACAGGGTTTGTAAATCAAATCTAGTCTCCTGTCCGTAGTCTGCGGGGCGGTCGCTGGTGTGTTTTGTACCGCCCGGCGTGTGCTGTGTTGTGGGTTTCTTCACCGTTGGCCGCTGAGCAGCGCGTCCAGCCTGATTTGCCGTGCTAATGTTGTATGGTTTGACATGCTCGTCTTTACGCAGCAATACTAACGTGCCGAAAATCGTCCACTGAATAGAGTTATGGATTTTTATACCTGTTTTATTCATTGTAAGGGGCTGTAGCAGACTCGATAATTTTCACCGGGGGCACAATTTGTATTGCGAGTAGGCGTCGTATGTACGAGGAGGTGTCATGATGATGTGAGTCCTGTGGAAATGCCATTAAGGTAGCTAATCCTGTTTTTAGGTCATGCATGAGCAGCCCTGAGTGTGTACGAATAACAAACCCTGTCCTGTCGGGAGCACGAATCAATAATGCCCACATATCAGGCTTAATGTGCTGATTTAGTCATCCTTGTCACATGGAAAGAGAGAAGGCCCGCTAATCTGGCCTTACGGCCAACTCGTGTGCAGGCGAGTAGTATCCCCACTGGTAGTTGTGTCAAAAAAAGCCTCCGATTGTATTCGGAAGTCGCTTGCCGTCGCCTGATTGTTGACACAGTAATCTGGTTATTAAGCGATTTATAAGAACGCTAAGTTAAATGATGCCCGTACATGCGTTCGGTAATATTCACCGAATAATGCTATCTACGACACACAGTTGGTAATTTATTTCAGCACTTTGTGAATCTTTGTAGCGGTCTCCAAGGTCGGGGCTTAACTTGTTGCATGGTAAGCTCTTAACTACGCCTGCATTTTCGTGTGAAGCGACTCTAATAACTAATGTAAAGCAATCAAAATGCAACTGCAACCACGCAGTTGTGATTTCGAGGAATGCTACCGTTCGCGTCTGAGTGTACGCCACTTCGATCTGTGTGGGAGACGGCGGCGTAAAATACTTGATTATTCCCCAAAACTATGAAGATGACGCTCGGCTGGTATTTTCCCCCACGCCCGCTGAGCACGACGGCCTGGGCCACCCCTCTGATTTGACTGAATCGGATCATTCCAGTCCGACTGGACCGGACTGGATCAGTCGGGATAAAACCGGCTGACTCGGACGAAACAGCATAGGTAAGCTCATGCTGAATGGTAGGACCCGACCGGACACACGGACAGCTAGAACTGGAAGGGGACCGCACGAACGGACCGCAAAAAAAATGGGGAAACGGAGACAGTAAGTATAAATGGAAGAACAGCAGCGAGCTGGATCGGACAGAACAGAACAGAACAGCACATAAGTAGTCACCGAGTGGGCAGTACCTCCAAACGACCAAGCACTGGTCCCACCGCAGATCAGCCTGAGGTCATTATGGACACTGCGCAAGGACTGTCCGCGAAAGCTATCGCTGAATATGGTCATAGGCTGGGGCGAATCACGGCGCTGGTATCAACGTAGGCCGATGAGCAAAATCGTGCATGACTTGACATGACATGACGAGAAAGGCCGCCACCACGTGTGCATGTACTCCTGATGTCCCCCGCGGCAGAGGTTCGAAGTGGTCGAGTGGCTTGAAGCACGGGCTGCCACATGAGGGCTTCAACATCAAATTGCGACCCGGGAGGAAGTGAGGGGCAAAACCAATTTTTTCTCCGAACTCCAGGCCAATTTATGAAGAGTTCCTTCCGAAATCACCCAGTATCTACTTTTGTCTCGTTAATCCTTTTGGCTGTTGAGGGGGATTAAAACAATCTCCCCTCCAGCTAGGGCCCCGCATATTAACTGTCTGTGCGCCTAGGTGCGTTACCTCTCTCGACATGCACCCATTTGTCCCACGCATCTGGTCTGCTCTAGACCGGTCTGGCCTAGTGTGTTTTAGCCTGATCTGGCCTGCTCGGGTTTGGCACGGTCCGATCCGATCTGGTCCGGTTCGTCTCTGGTGGCAGATATTGGCTGTATTTGCCTTCGTGCTCTGCCCTCACACCGTCCACTTATTACATGTAGACAAACTTTCAGCAGGAAACGTCTTCAAGCACCCAGAAAATCCTTCAATGTGATTTGGAAACCCAGAATCGTGCTACCATATTGCGCCCTTATTGCGCGTTAGAAGATGCCGTGCACGGGCCCCACCATCAGTCGGAATTTTAAAGGCTTTGTGCTGGGCGGTGACGTCACTGGTGCCGAGACTTCAATACAGCGCGGCCGCTAGCCATGGGGCAACGCTACGGGAGTGTTGGAACATCGGGAGTCTTCGCACAGATAACACACAAAATATTAGCGGGAGATGCATATGACCAGCGAACCACTGGTGTATAATTCAATGATGAGTTTGACGATATGCTTTGCAAGCTTTGTCGCTAAATAATGGGTAAGGTGCATCGGCATGAGGACTGAAAACGTTCGAACGGTAGTTACACGACGCAGGACGACTGGAATGTCGGGTCGTATTCGTACCGATAATGAATAATATGTCAGTGGCAGGTGGAGGTTGCCAGCGAGCCAATGACGTAAAATTTAACGTCGAGTATGACGTGTTTGTCAAGGTTGTTCGTCGAACTATTACAAAGAAATCAGCGTAGAAATTGCAGACACTTACGCGAGCGTTGCTGCAAAGATGGTCGGCCGGGATACCTGGTTGCCTTCGTAGCGATAATGAACAAACCGTTGAAGGTAGGTGCATGTAGCCAGACGATCGAATGCGTAGAATTCAACTGGTAGTATGGCGACGTTTTACTTACAAATTTATACCTCTATCGGTTAAAATGCAATCGGGGTGAAAAGCGAAATTCGCACGTGCGGACTGTTGGCAGGCGCCTAGCCAAAGCCTTGGCGGGGGGCGGGGGGGGGGGGGGGGGCACAGGGCGGGCCTACGGGCTTAAACCGATTCGCTGTCGATTTAGTCGTTTTTACTCCCTCGAGGTGCCAAGTGTTAGCGGTTGGAGTTGGTTGTTTTTAGCCGCTCGGCCAGTGTGAAGAATGCTTCTTGCGGAGGGATTCAGGAGTATGGAGGGTCACTCACTCTCACGACCCGACTCACGGATTAGGGCAGGCGATCTGGCCCATCGGTAGTGGTAAATGAGTGGGCAGAGCATATATCTCTAGAATGTGGGGAAGGTTGGTGAATGAGATCACGTCCACAAGCGGTATTTTCCTTTTAACACCGCGTTCCTAAATTCAACATTCAGCTACAAAATAAACCACCAATGATCTGGCAGGATTATGTGCTAACTAATGAGCTGTGACATCACATATCTGCTTATTTTAGAGAAACTGTCAGACTGCAACTGCAGCTGCAACTGTAAACTGTACCTGAGCAACTGTGTTCAGAAACCCGAATATTGGCAGTTAGGAATATCCGGGGGATGAGATACAAGGCGCAGCTTCTTGCCATTACCGCAGTGCAGTGTATATCTAAATAGGAATTAACAATACGTGTACATGCAAACGGAGTGATGTAAACAGACGTTATGCATCGCGTATCAGGCATCACTCGTATATGTAAACCACTTCATGCTATCTCGCGTCCCGATCAGCCATGCACAGTTAGATGAGCCGTGCACGCTTAGGTCTGATCGTCGACGTCCTATGATAATGGATTCACTAATTATCCTGTTTGGACGGTCGTGTACCCTGGCTATGACTTTAAGTTCTAAAGATGTTACAGGGCCCGTAACTTTCTGGATTTTAGCTTGAGAGCGTTAGTTGTTAATGCTGAACATGCTGCGAAATATGAATACAGTTCTTTCGTTTTCTCCTGGTTATTCGAAAAGGAATATGGTTAGCAAAACAAGGATATAACCGTTTTAGAACGCAATCATGTGCAGAACACAGGGCTGTCCAGACATGACAATAAGTGAATGTATTCTTGTAAGAAGCCCGCAGCCGGATCTTAGCGTCCAGGCAGGGGTAAAAAAGCCACCGACTTACAGGGTATGATCGGTGACACAAATGGACGCATATACGAGTCATGCGGTGACGAAATTGCGAAAACTTAAACAGATTACAACAGACCACCCCAGTTAGACGAAACTCAAAGCTTAGTGTTAGTCTGTACTCCCTGACGCTTCCAGCGTGACCTAACCTGACCTACCCTAACCTAGGTTAACCTAGGTATACAAGCGTCAGCGAGCATGCTGCTCGCTGGAGGCGTCAGCGAGTATACTACCTGCCGCCCAGCAGATTCAGCGAACTGACCGGTTGACAGGAATGAGAGAGAAGCTCTGATATATATATATATATATATATATATATATATATATATATATATATATATATAGGCTGATAACGACAGGCTCCGGAACCATGTGACAGATCGCCGCGAAAACGTTTCAAATGCCGTGAGCAATTACTCAAAAGCTCCGGAGTATGATGATCTTTGGTTCTACCAGGGCACCAAAGCGAGCAGCGGCGATGTTTTTATCTGCCAGTGGATGCATGTTTGCAGCCTATATGGGAGCGATTGTCACGCCAATGTCGCTGCTTGAATACCCGTATGTGCCATCGCTGGGCTTACGTGACCTCAAGTCATCTTATTTCTGGTGAAAAATGGCGCCCTTTGTCCAAGGGATTGCTAAAAAATGTGAGACTTTGGCGGCAATGTAAGTCCGAGTACATACATACACACTTTATAGCGCGCTGCTCCTACAAAAAAGAAGGTACTTTTGTGTTGTCCATTTTCAGAGCAAAATGGGGTTGACACTTCCCCTCATCACTTAAACATAGACTAACATCACCCGGAATGCTATCATTTTCACTGGCCTAAACCGCCGCTACTGATTTCCAAGCATTAATCCACTGATAAGGAACTGTAGCGCCAGCCTTAGCGGGTATACCCCCAGAATAGAGAAAAACTAAATAGATGTCAAATCGCTGTTTCTTCTCTAAGTTTTATGCTTACGTATGTAAGGTAAGTTTAGTTTTCCATCGGGTATGAAACGAAAACCTATCATGTCAAGCCCAAGTAGCTCTCCTGTGCCTTTCTCTGGCCTCTGCACTGTCGCTTACTCTGGCCTCTGCGCTGTCTGGCTGCCGGGTCCGTCAGCCCACTGTCCAGATGCATCAACGAGCCTCAATGTTGAAGTGATCCTGCCGCGCCGAAACTGGCGTGGCCTACGCCGCTGTGCAAAAACCGGCCTACGGTGATTTAAAGCCAGCTGCTGCTCTGGAGCGCATAACCTTTAGACGTGTAGGCGCACAAATCATAAACAGATTATGACCTTAAACATTTTAAAATGTCAGCGAAGCGTTCGATTGGATGCATTCCTAAGACCTGCCCCCACGACAAGCAGAGGCTGTTTCGCGAACCCTGGCCCGACCTTCTATAAACTTATAAATATATATAAACTTATAACATATATATAATACTTATATATATATAAACTTATAAATATATATATAGACTATAAACTTCCGTTCCCACTGCGGTCAAGTCGTAACGTACCGCAATGCTTGTCACTGGCCGCCTGGCCGCTGGCACCCTCTGGCATCAGCCTCCCGACGTCCCGGGTGAGTGGGGTGATCAAAAGGACTGAGATATCCCACGTCTGAGCTATCCAACGTCTGAACTATCCAACGTCTGAGCTATCGGGGCCGACATCGGCCGGTTGACAACGCTCTCGAAGTTTTGTGCGTCTTCGTCACGCCTTTTTATCCGTACATTTTTGCGACGATTGATTGTTGCGGCATGTTCTTATCGGGGAGAAAGCGTGGCGGGAAACATGTCAACGTCTGGCCAAACCTGCGCAAAGGACAACGTGGCTCATAAAGTCAGCTGCGCACTTTGCCATGCCACATACGTGAGGAGTGCATACGCCCCGTCGCATAGCTTTTTTTGATAATCATCACACCGCCTTCAAGGCCATTAACAATGCAGTTAGACTCCTCTTTCATGCTTTCCATGGGGTTGATGTTCTTCTTGGCTTGTAGTTGTGGGGAAAATGTTATGTAAGCTCATAACCACGTCGGATAAAAACTTACAGAAATAATACTAATTCGGGACATTAATTCTGCCGTCAATAGAAACATAGCTAGCTAGTTTCTTTCGTGATAACAGCCGGCACGGGTGTCAATTTGCATTCTTTTGGTTAGGCCACTGCCCCTAAGTCTAATTTGTACCTAACGGTGAGTCTGCCAACCCCCAACCTTCTGGTGCCGAAGAAAAGCTGGGTATAAACAGTGGGAGATCAACATGATATCAATTGTAAAGAACGTTTCTACTACTTGTTTCACAAACTGAGGAACAAGGGAAATAAAGCTTGCAATGTCGTATTCAGTTGACATATTTCGGTTTTTTCGGCATGATGTAAAGTTATAATTACACAATTAGTATACCTTGTTAACTTTGGTGTACTTTTGTGCCATTGTCTGTTTTGTCATTAAGTTGCGATGTTTTATGGTCTACATGTTGCAGCAAGTTGCGGGATTTTGTTTCGAAATCATAAGATGAAAACAAACTGATCGAGCAAGGAACTAAAAAAACGCGAGCCGCTTGTTAGCCGTTTCCATTCGAAAGAACCGTTGAAGTGTACTGACCTCCTCTGGGCGTGAATGCTCGATGGAATAATTACGAGAACTTGACGATGGACACTAGCTGACTAAACCAATAGCGACAATTTCCAGACAACATGCCTGCTGCGAGTGCGGAGCTGCTGCCTGTAACCCACCTTGATGTCCGTGAAGATAGCGATTTATTCAGCGATTTATTCAGAGGCGGGTTCTGATTTCAATGAAAAAGGTCCCAAGGTCAATTATGGAACGAGAAAATCGAAAATGAACCTTTATTTTGCAATATCATGTGGCCTTCACGGTCAAAAGCTGGGTCAAAGGACGGGGAAATCAATAAACCTTTACACCTAATTATACAATACATAATAAACTAATCATACACCCAATTTTCAAACCAGCTGGTTTGTAAATAATGATCATCAAAATATTCACAAACGCAAAGGCTAGCGTTCACCAAAAAGTCCTGCCGTCTCAAGATCACCCTTCAGGGTCAAATACAAGCTCAAAGGACGGGAACTCGATATCATCCAAAATTTACCGGCCGATTTTCAACTCACAACTATCAGAATATTCATCACAGAAAGAACTAGCGTCTGTCAAAAAGTCCTGACATCTCAAGATAATAAATTGAGGTCAATAGCAGACTAAAAGGACGAGTAGCTCCACATCACCCAAAAACTACCAGCCGATTTTAAACTTGCACATGCCAGAATATTCCCCACAGAAAGAACTAGCGTCCGTCAATAAGTCCTGACCTCTCAAGATTTCTCTTCAGGGACAAACGCGGGCTCATAGAACGGGGAACTCTTATATATACATATATATATATATATGTATATATATATATACATATATATATATATAAATATGCATATATATATATATAATCATATATAAATATTGCAACTCGCAGTTTCTTGGTCAAGTTGACCTTCCTAGGGTAAAAAGATCACTGACTTTAAATGAAAACCCGGGATTTTTGTTTTACATTCCGGACATTAAAAAATCCATCAGTTGTACAGTTAACGTTGTTCCGGCTAAGCATAAAAATATCACAGATGCATATTGTGCTCTACACCATCGTTGAGCCATCCATAATCCTACTCCCATGCCACCTTGACGTCAAACATAAACGTCCCAAGAAAGCAACGTAAGTGGCACGACACTTACGGTGACTAAGCAGACAGGTATGGGCCGAGCGCTGTCGGCCCAGCGCACAGGTACGAACTGAGCACGGCCGGCCTCGCAGACAGGCACAGACCGAGCACGGCCGCCTCTGCGCGACAGGTACAGACTGAGCGGCGCGAGATGAAGGTAGACATGCAGGACGAGCACCACGCATTTGGTGCATCTAACGCAAAACAATAACTGCAGCACCCAACAGACTCGCCTCACCCGCCAATCGCCACCCACTCGCACCACCGGCGGTGGTTCGATCGAGGGGTGCGGTGCCGTGTGAGATCAAAGTGCGTTGTAACGGCTTGGCACGTAGATAATCACCCTCGACACTAAATTTCACGCATTCGAGTCGCTGATCATGTACATCTGCCACTGACAGTTTATTCTCTAGCAGTGCGAATGCAGATGTTTCTTACGATACGTTCCTTCCTTACGACTTCCCGATGTTCATGCCGTCCTATTGCGAGTAAGTCTCGTGTACGCGTCTTCACTTTTCAGGTAGTTTCATTCCACTCGCTTGCCACATAAAGCACGTCATCATGCTCGTCTTTACCTGTGAGCAATCGGCTCATTGGCTTTGGATACCTTCTGCCAAAGGCTTTTTTCTTTTTCTGTATGAGTAAATCGATATTCCACTGGCCCCTCAGCAATACCTTAAGGTACTGCACCCAATGACGTCACATGAACGCCAAGCGAAGATAAAGTGAGGTCACGAGACAGTTTCATCTCTGGTGAGGCCTTGATTGCGCGTGAAGAAACAGGAAGAGTGCGGGCAGGTGTTTGGTGGGACGGTGCGTAACCTCTTGCAGCCACCGAAGGTGTGTGGGTATTTAGCCCGGATTCGGTAATTCTAAATGCGAGGAAATTGCGCTTAGATGCTTGTATATTGGAAATTTCCCTGCTGGTGGGCTTACAAGCCTGAACGGTTTCCGCCGCTTTTGCCGCACTTGCCGCACATGTTTGAGAGGCAGGCTCTCTAGGGGAGAGGGTTCTGGATATGTGGAGTGACTGAAGCCCCATGTTTTCAAGCAAGAGAGTGATTCATGCATGGATGTTATACAGGAAATCTGCTGACAATTGTGAGATGCCTGCATGTTGAAAGCTCTCATCATTGTGAGGCTGGCATGAGATGATGCTAGGTCATGGTGCATGTTGTCTTATTCAGGATGGAAGCTAATTTTCATTTTAAAAATGGTCATAAAAGCTGAACACAGAATTACAACACTCCTGACATTGTTGTCAACTATGGACCTAATGGTCAGTATTTTTGGTGGGCAGGAGAAGTGTGACATTTTTGATGTGATGGATTGAAACATTGTGAAGTATGGATACATAAATGTGTGGGGAACAATTAGAAATGGTAATACTACATTTGAAAACTTGCTTGTGTTGAACATTGGAACCTGTTATTTCAATAAGCTCCTGATTTGCATCAGTTTGTAACAGTGAAACCAATGTGTGTTGTTAGTTATTAAAGTAGTTCTGGTTTATCAAGTTAAGTGCTGGCTGTTGTGCCCTGGCCATGGTATGTATCATGGTATTTTTTGTCACTCACAATTAAAAACATGAATGCTCAGCTCATGAAAAAATAAATAAGAAGCATTCCATAATGCCAGACATATTAGATGCTACCAGAAAAGCATCTCTTGCCCTGCCTGTTTGCCATTAATGCTTTATGCTTTATTAGCAGAAAATAGCTATATTGGATATTGGATGGCACACCTATATTTGTTGTCTCTGTGAATATTTCTGTTCTTGGGATGTGGATGGGAGGCAGTGTTGAGACAAGAATGTTAAAAGTTCATTCAAGGAATAAGTGTTGTGAGGAGATGCAGGAGATGCATTTACTCCATTAAGGTACTGGCTATTCATGATCTGGATGGTTGAGAGGATAGGATGCTGAAGCTCCAGAACTTTTTGTGAGTCTAGTGATGCTGAAAAATTATTCAAGTGTTTTGACATACATTGCTCTTCTTTTTTGCAGAATCAGCAAGAAGACAGAGATGTCAAGGGCAAATATGGATTGCAAAGTGTATGTTGGTGACCTGGGTAAGTTACTTGTGCTGTTTTTGACAATAAATGTTTCCTCCTTGATGTAAATGTGTCTATTACCATGTGTTATGAAAGGCATCATAAATTGTATGAACAAAGCCAGGGTACTGACTTGTGTGTTATGCTTCATGTTGTGATAATAATAAACTTGATGTCTTACATCCAAGTAGAAACATTGTAAAATAATAAGATTGGTAGGGAAAGAACACAATATTTTCTCTGCTTGGTTTATTTGGAAATTGATAATGTTCTCACTGGAGTAGAGTGGAGGTGGATACTTTTCACTAACATATTGCATGCTATTTTTTTGCAGGGAGCAATGCTTCTCAGACTGAGCTGGAAGATGCTTTCTCTTACTATGGACCGCTGAAGAATGTCTGGGTGGCCCGAAATCCGCCTGGGTTTGCTTTCGTTGAGTTTGAGGACCCAAGAGATGCCCGTGACTCAGTTCGAGGACTGGATGGAAGGTAATTAAATCTTCTTTGAGTGCCTGGCATGGTGTGGTGTGGTTTTCACTATGCCCTCAGTGTACATATATATATATATATATATATATATATATATATATATATATATATATATATATTCAATATGCCCTCACCATGCTTGCTGAATCATTTGACTGGAAACACCTTATGTGTCTTGCAGACTTAACCAGCAGTTTTCTTGTAGTGGGACCATGGCATGGTTCCCAGTTTGTCTCTCAGTTATGCAAAGCTCTATCAGTAGTAATGTGCTGGGCCCTCAGACTTTGCTGAACTCAAATAATGTACAGTGGAGGGTTGAGTGTGTGTGTGAGGCTGGAAAATGGATCATTATGGGAGGAACTGTGTCAAATTGTTGCATGCAGTTGATTGGAATATCATGATGTTCTTTGCTTAAGCTGTTTCAGGTGATGTAAAATGCAATAGGTGCACCTGAGGTTACCTGTTTCAATTGAGCATTATATTTGCCCCACAAAACTATTGCCTTACCTGTGACCAGGGCTGTAAAGGCATGTGTGTGCCCTTTGTTAACACCTTATTGGACCTCAGTTAAGACCTGACTGGGGGTCATCAAGGTCGTCGCGTGACCGGCGCCATGATTGTGGGCACTGACTGCGCGTGGACCGTCGCAGGACCGTGTGCAACCGCCGCATCACGGTGGAGATGTCGACGGGCCGCTCGCGCAGCCGCGGCACGGGCAGCTGGCGCGGCACGGTCGGCACGGGCCGCTACGGCCGCGGCTGGGACCCCAACGACCGCTGCTACGACTGCGGCGAGGCCGGCCACTACTCCTACGACTGCCGCAACAAGCGGCCCGTGCGCAGGTCAGTGCCCGCGCCGCCGACGGCGGCCGCGTGCGCCAGCCAGCCGCCCGTGGATGCTGTGGCGCCGCCCGCGCTGCCCGCTGACGCCCTGTTCTGACGTTTTGTAGGGGATGAGTGCGTCCAAGGCAGCTGTCAATGACTGAGCTGCGGCGGCACACCGTCCCCGTCTCCGCCTGAGCACACCACGCGTCCCCCGTCCGCCCGTCCGCGCGCGCTCGTTGCCTCGACACCCGGCCGCTCGTAGCGTGTCGCCGTGGCCAGCCGTCCCATCTGTGGTAGAGCGTCGCCGAGCCGCCTCAGCACGGCGGTGAGAGCCGCGGCGCAGCGGCCAGGGCGCGCCAGAGGCGGACGGGCCGGCGCCGACCTGTGTGGCTGCTGCTGCTCTGGATGGAAGCGGTCGCAGCGCACGCGGGGGTTTAGATCGGGGCTTTAAAGTACGATAGGCCATCGGCGTCGCTTGTGTGGGTGTGGGTGACTGCCTGTGATCGTGGGTGTGTGTGTGTGTGTGTATGCGTGTGCGTGGATGTGCGCGTGCATGCAGACGTAGGTTTCGTTTTGTGTGCGAGTACATGTTCATGCGCTCTTCTTTTACTGTGGTGTCCGGGTGTTCGGTTGTTGTTTTTGTGTCGGGCATGGGGACGAAGGCAGGCTCTCGCTTTGAGGTCGAATCCAAGGGCCGGACAATGACATGATGTCCGAGTGGAAGCCGGAGCCGGTGGTTTTTAAGTGCGGAACCGCCAAGCTGAGACCACAGCCAGTGGCCACGTTTTGGTAAAACGTGAAGCTGGATCCCCAAGTTATTGGCTTCGAATTTTGTTATGAATGGAGCCGAAACCGAAGTCAGCTACTCTGAACTTAGGAAACGCGAAGCCAAAACCAAACAGCAGTTTGGATCGACGGGGCCGAGGCCAAAGCTGATTGTAGTATGCAAAGTTGTTCTTCAAAATCAAAATCTCTGCCCTTAGTATGCAAAGTTGTTCCTCAAAATCAAAATCTCTGCCCTTAGTATGCAAAGTTGTTCTTCAAAATCAAAATCTCTGCCCTTTTCGGAGTGATTACGATTAGGTGTAGGCGTCATGGCTGAAAGAACTGTTCAGGCTATCGTCTTAGATTTGTGTCAGTATGCACACAACATTTCGGATAGCTGGAGTTCCGACGTCGTCAGATGTAGATTGATCCTGAGAACGTCTGGCTCGTTTTTGGCTCTCAGCTGTAAATGTCACGCGGCCTCAAACAGTTGTGTAATATGGATATGGGGATGAAAGACAGACATGGCTGTTTTGATTAAGCAGGGCCACAACTGCGGTGAAATGTTACCGTAGCCAAGCCGAAGCCAGCAGTTCATGATTGCACGGAAATCAAGCCCAAAAAGTTAAAAACCTGCGCAAAAGCTAACCGTTACTTGCGACGAAGCCGAAGCCAACCGATTCAAATGCCACGAAGCAGAAGGCACCCGTGGAGAGTGGCTCAAATGCGAAGTCAATCTCCAAGTAATTAGAGGAAAACTGGCTTTGCTAAGCGAAAACCTCAGCCGGCTTCGTCCCCACGCCTGTCCTGTGTACATGTTGTTCAGGCTGTGGGGACCTTATAGTGTTTTTTTTTGGGAGGGGGGACAGCGCTCATGAACCTAGTTATCATTCAGGTTTTTTGTTAGAAATTCAGGTCAATGCTGCCGTCCAAAGATAAGAAGGCTTAAGTGCTATGGTAACTAATGACTCCTAGACCTTTTTCCTTTGAACGACAGAATACTACTGACTGTGAAGTGCCACACTGATGCTTGTGGCGAAGAATGCCAATAACCTAGGATAGTCACGCGCAACACAACTCATCGTACTTCACATTTTGCATAGTTATTCTACTAGCTTTATTGTGTGTTACGGATTTGTTTTGGTATGTTGAGTCCATAGTAAGGATTGGGCCTACTGAAACCCGTTTGTGTAGAAAATTGCGACATATCGTACTCATCCATTCGGTATTACTTTTTAGCTTGCAGTGAACTTGTTACGCTGTAATAGTCCTGCAGTTTGGGTTGTAATATGTGCACTGTAAGAGGCAAGTAAACATCTGTGATACATAAAGGTGGGTAGTAATTTAGAACATAGTGTTACGGTGGAAGACATAGCGTACAACCTTGCAATATTTCACTTGTTCGAGATTTGTTGAGGCTGAAAAGCCGTTTTCTGGAATAACGTTGTCCTGGTCGTTCCAGGAAAAATGAAATCGAAGGACGTTTCTGATAGGCCCAATCCCTGTATCGGCGCTTATCGCACTATTGCGTTGGTCACACGTGTGGTGAGGCGGCTGTCGCACGCGTTTGTAAGCGCCGCGAGAATGGCATCACCTGCGCGCCCGCCCGGCCCGCGCTCGGCGAGCGACACGGCACATCCGCCGCCGGCCGACCGTCGGACGGCCGACGACCGCTCTTGCCCAGCGTGGACGCCTCCAGTTGTGAGCCCTCCACCGGGCAGGTAGGCCAGCGCGCGCGCAAGCCAGAGGCCTCTCGTCGCTGTGATGTGAACGGTCGCCGTGCTGCGACGGCGTGCGCGGCTGATCTTGGTGCGTACGTGACGCGTGCGGAAGCTCGTTGGTGGGCGGCCGGTCTCACCTCAGGCAGTGGGGCTTGGCGGTGCTAACGCATTCCTTTACAGATGGGTGACAGTGTGACGTTTTGCTCTGTCCTTCGGCAGCTGTGTGTGCGTCTGAGTAGATTGTGATGGTGCAGCCACACTGTGGCCGCCGGAGCCAGAGCAGACATTCACGCCGTCCAATTTTAGGTCTTTTTCTAGGTCGCGCAGTCGTGACCGCCACTCTCGCTCGCGCTCTCGCACCAAGAGGTCCAGGAGCCGCTCCTACTCACGCAGCCGATCCCGCGACCGCTCCAGGTTAGTGACCTGGCGCAACCCCGCTGGGGACGGCACCAGCACCGCCTATCTGTGGAGTGCCCAATGCCGTTCTCATCACCAGGCAACCCGCGACGTACGGATGCAGGCTGGCTGTTGTGGATCCGTTAATCGCTGCGTGAAGCAAGGCTGAAGGGTGCCGTTGTGCCGCCTGGGCGCGTGTTCGCCTCGATCGGACCGTGCGGCGGATGGCCGCCTTCTGACAGCGCGGCCCGCCGTTGCAGGTCCCGCTCGCCGAAGAGGAACGGCACGTCGCGCTCGCCCCGCAGAAACGACGGCTCTCGCTCGCCGAAGAGCAGCGGCCGCTCGCGCCGCGACTGAGCGCTGCCGTGGCGCCCGACGACCCACGCGCCACCGTCATTCCGTGAAGTTAGAGACGATGCCGGGGGCCTGCTCTGATCCGGTGGAGAACCCGGCCGCGAACCCAGGCGGGCGTTACGTTGTCATGCATTTCAAGGGCGGAAGCTACTCGTTGGAGATCCCCTTTGCGCGTTGTGGTTAGTCGCCTGGGCTCTGTTCTTGTCAAGACGTGTGCTTTTCTTTCTTGCGTCCGAGCACACAGTTGTGCACGGCTCCCAACAAGGTCGCAGGTCACGACTTTGTCGGCAATCTCTCCCATCTGTTGTGTGTATGTAGCCCAATTCATTCTAAAAGCATGGGAGTGCACCTGCGATTTCGAAATACATGTAAGGAAAAGAGCGTTGTGTTTTCGTTTTAACGTCCGGTGATGTGTGAGAGCGTGGATGTTTAAACCACCACAGCCGTGGTGTCATCAGTCATTGCCGGCCGTTCGGGGCGCAAGCGTTGGAGCTCATCGCACCGCGCCCGGTTGCTTAGATATACGCACAGACGGATCAAAAACAGATACCAGTGTTCGATGTACAGTTGTGGAAGGTTGCGTCACACGGTCTTTTGCCTTGTCCGTATGTGCATGTATTCTCGCGTGTATGTTTCTGAAATGGTGCCATTTGGATTTTTTTTTTTTTTTGCTACCAGCGCATGTCTGTTTTTACAACGGAACGAGTGCTATTCTAAAAATGATTTATGTCTTGGAAGGTGATGAGGTTTTACACACAATTTTAACAGGCTCGTTGAGCAGTCTTCTGTCGTTAATAGGTTTTTATCCGCCAATCCCCTTGAACAAAACACCTTAGTGCTTCTTACTGCGCTGAACCGGGCTGGGAAGGCGTCCGTTTTTGTTGGATTTTACAAGGCAAATGGCGGCTGCTTTGGGACGCCATGCCGAGCAGTAAGCAGCTCAGGGCAGTGAATCCACAGTTAAAGGTGTGGCAGTCCTGCTCGCGAAGGGCGGGGCGAGAGGAGGTGATTCTGTGCAGCTTGCGTATTGGCTACACGCATGCGACTCGTAGGTTCCTACTTTGCGGGGGCCGCCGGCCGGTATTGATCGCATTGTATTTCTTCACTTACCGTGTTTCATGTATTTCTTTCGCTTCTAAATTTTGACGAAGAGTGCATGCGCCATTGCGGACAACGTGCCGGATGTCTGCATTCGAGTGAGACCGTATGGCGACAACTGATCTTATCCACTCGAGCCAGATTTTTCCTTTCCCATTGACGGCAAGGTCTTTGTTGTGGACGAAAAATGACCTAGGACGTCGGTGCGCCCGCAAGCCACAAATAAGAAGTGATTGGTTAAGGAACATGACAGTTTTACATGTACTTGTTCACACCAATTAGTTGTCCCAAAGTGTCGAGGCTTATGCGAATTTTGGCGTGCTGGCTGCATTTCAGATACTTTTGCAGATGCCCGAAGGGTGCATCCATGCGTACGCGACGCCATTACGGGATCACTACCGGCCGGGAATGTAAATTTATCATCAGCCGGCATCACCTTGTTCGTTCACATAGGGATGGATCCAGGATCTTGTGAATGGGGAGGGGCGCAACATTGTACCCCCCTAAAGTTTGAGACCCTCCAATAAAGATTTCCGCATTCCGGCTATTACATTTTGATATTCTTAGCCTCCTAGTTTATATTCGGGACCCCATCTTTCCGCGCGCAGTCCCAGAAAACTAGTGCTATATATGCACTTGCATGGTACTTATCCATTTTCTTCAGATCATAGTGAATCCTGTCATTCTGAGGCTAAAGATTTTCGAAAAGGCATGACAACATAAACTTAGTTAGCTGCTAAATGTTATCAAAATAGAATACGAAGCTGCTTCCCAGCTTATTTACAGTTAGCCGGAAGGCCTTGTGATCAGGTGATGGCTGGTGACCGATGCAGAGCTTTTGCTTTGTCTGCTGTGAAGGACTACAAACATTCTAGCACTCAAAATATATTTAGAACGTGATACATGGGTAAAATAGGTGTCACAAATTCAATAACCAACTGGAATGGCATACGACGTCGGCAGCACTCATTACGTCTCACAATTACGCGTAAAAATTGATCGACGCATATCCAACTACTGCTCGAAGGCTCAGGCACCACCGTCGACGTGATATACTTCTAATCGATCGGGAGTACCCCGCCAGGCTGCATGTAGGACCCCTTCCAGACCACGGGGCACTCTGAGCAAAGGGAAATTACCCAAGAGTAGTGTCCATGAATTGATGCCCACATGCGAACAAGAGGGCAGGTTACAGAGACGGCCCCTACAGGAGTGAAGGGTCTTCTGCAAATGAGATCGAAGGGAAAGAGCCCTAGATCAGTGTAGAGGGTCCCTGCGCATCGAGAGTCCTGGTGCCTTGGCGTACTTGGGGCCCCAGCAACAGCACGAAGCCCTCTGAGTAAGTGAAAAGAATCTGAGACCAATACTAAGCGCTTCTGAGCAACATATGGGACCCTGGCTTAAGCGTAACGAGCATTTCGGGCGAGCGCAAAAAAGGGCTCTGTGGAGGGCTCTGATCGATCAAGAGTACAACACGGGCAGATCCACCCAGAGCTGATCGTGCCCCAGCAGAAACGAAAGCCCTACGATAAAATTCAAAAATCAAGAGCTATGTGGAAGGCTCCTGAGCCATCGAATTGACCCGGCAAGTGGACGTATAGGGCCCCGGCAACAGCGTAACGCCTCTGGACAACGTAACGAGCCTCACAGTTTCCTCCCATCACCACCCTCTCACCAGCGAAGAATTATATACGTCTGCTCACGGGCTCTTAACTTTCGCTCGCGACCGTTTTTGGTCGTCTGGAGGCCCAAAGACGTTTGGTTTCGTTGCGTTTTGTGTTGAAAAACTGGGTCCGTTCGGCCGGTTATGGCCCCTTCGGAGCTCATAGGTCTCCTCGTGGCACAAGAGGTTGGGGGCATGATTCCGTGCACCCTCCTGGATCCGCCACTGGCCCGAGCAGCTTAATAGATGGGGCCCCGACTTGAACATAAGGTTATCCATTCAAATAGTAAACATCCAAGACACAATATGAAGCGTCCCCGAATGTGTGTGCCCGAGCAGGTTAGTAGATGGAGGGCTCCCGGCAAAAGCGTGTGGCTTTCAATTAAGATAAGAAATATCCACGACACAACGTGGAGGGCTCCCGAACGATCGAGTGCACCCAAGCGTAGGGGCCGAATGCAGAGCCCTGCGTTTTAATACTAAGACTCGATGTGTAGGACTCCTGGACAATCCAGCGTGCTCGAGCAAGTTAACAGATGGGCTCCGCGACAAGTGCGAAGTGCCGTCCATTCAAATAGAAAGTACCCAAGACCCAATTTGGAGGGCACCGTACAACGGAGTGCGCCCAAGCAGGCTACCAAATAGGCCCTCAAGAAGAGCTTAGGGCCCTTAGCACGTGACGGGGAATCGGAAGGGCCCTAGACCAATGTAGAGGGCCCATGAGCGTATCGTGAGTATGTTGATAGGTTAACCGAGACCAACGTGAAGGGCCCCTGAGCAATCGAGAATTCCCCGGCATGTTAACAGATGGGGCCTCCGGGTATGGCGTATAGAACCTTTCGGGCGAATGGAAAGAATCCGTGGAAAACCCCTGATTGAGAAGAGTGTCCCGGTACGATAGCAGGGAGGTCCCCGCAACAGCGCAGGGCCCTCCCAGCAAATGCAAAAAAATCAAGGGCAACGGAGAAGGCTCATTCACGATCGGACCGATCCTGCATGTGGATATATAGGGCCCCCGAAACAGCGTAAGATCTCTGGGCAACGCAATGAGTCTTAAAATCTCCCAATTACACCCTCTTAATTAGTGAAGGATTATTTTTGCCTATCCATTGGGCCCTCACGTTCGCTTGCGCCTGTCCTTGGTTGCCTGTAAGCTCAAAGGCGTCCAATTTCGTCGCGTTTTATATTGAAAACTGCGTCTATTAGGCCGGCTATGGACCACTTCGAAGCCCATCGGTCCCTTCGGAGATCAAGGGGGCTATGGTCCCTTGCCCCTTCCCCTCTGGATCCGCCCCTGTGTACATCACCGCTTGAGGGCACATTGTTAACTACGGCCCGCCTCCTCGCAGTGTGACGGCCAGAATATGGCGACCGGGGAAAAGTGCTCTTAATCGTACTCGAAGGCTTCGACTGTATGCATTCCACAGCGCATGCATAGGGCTATCTTTTGCGAGCACAGCTCACGTCTCCGGTTAGGGAATCTAGTTTATTCGGTCGAACCACCGGCTCCATCTAGCTTTACGTTGGTGGGCCAGTCGCAGCGGCGATCTGCAAATATACATGTCCGACTTAAAATAGTTTTACTCGTTCACGGAGGGTGTAGCCACGCGCACGCGATGACGTTTTGGGGTGCTATCGTCCGGCAATGTAAATTACTCATCGGCCGACAAGACCTCCCTTCTTTAAAAAATTTTGTTTTGGTTTGTTTTGCTTGCTCTTGGTAACACCTTATCTTCCGCCTTCCAGCCCGCGGAGTGATGGCCATAATACGGCGGCCCGGGAAAAAACACTCGTGATCGCGCCCGAAGAATGCAATTGTGTGCATTCGACAGCATTGATAATGAGCCATCAGCTACCAGTACAGCACACTTAACGGATTTTGTTTTCAAATTTATTCGATAGACTCCTCGACAGCATGACACTTTATTTGAAGCCATGCCAGGGGGCCGGTGGAAGTCACGATTTGCAAAGATATCACGCGCGATTTTAGTTTTTTCTTGTGCGCAGAGAATTCAACCACGCGCGCACGACACCAATGTGGAAGCACTATCGGCCAGCAATGTAGATTGTTCATCGACCGACATAGCCTAGCTTGCTCACATCACCTGTTGACGTCGCGTTGTAAACTGCGATAGGCCTGCTCGTAGAGTGATAGCCAGCAACGGTGGCACGTGAAAATGCTCACAACTCGCATGAAGAGTGCAGCTGCGTGCATTCTGTAGCCCTGGTAAAGTGCTGTCATCTGCCCGTAAAACACACGGCTTCTGTTAAGGAAACTGATTTGTTCGGACCCCGACGACACATCATTCATCCTAGCCGGCCGGCCACAGGGGAAACTTGCAAAGACACCATGTCAAATTTAGAATATTTTCACTCGTGAGCGGAGGGGGCAACCACGCCCACATGACGCCATTGTGAGGCGCCATCAGCCAGGAATATAAATTGCTCATCGGCCGACAGGACCCACTTGATTACATTACGCGATGTCGCCACGTTGTTAACTGGTGTCAACATGCCCGTTAACTGACGGCCAGAATGCGCCGGCACGGGAAACATGCGAATAATCGCTCACGAATAGTGCGGCTGTGCGCATCCGATTGCGCTGTTACAAGGTCATCAA